TTGGAGTTAAATATTAGAAGTTACAAGGGGGATTTAACATGGCTTTACTGTTTTCACTGGCAGCCTCATGTCCTTATAAAGTTTAGTGGCACCCTTAGCCAGTCCATATGCAGTGGCATTCATACATCCTCTAACTCTCAGATAATAAATATGAGAGGGTGCTGGTAAGTATTGAGCCTTTCCCAGAAAAAATTGAGCTAGGAAGCTGTAACTGCCACACTATTCTACATATTCCCCCAGGAAGTCAATGTACAGTACTTGTGACATCTGTCCTGCAGCTTCTATGCCCCTGTAAATGAAATTCTTCTGACTGCTGGTGTAACCACTCCTTTGCAGCATTAGATGCCTCCAGGACACTCCCAAATCGTTGTCTCTTTAGGTGTTTTTTTTAGTTTGGGGAACAGATAATAAGGGAATATGTAGAATAGTGTGGATAATGGCACCAACTCTCTCTCTCGTGATATTCCCAGATATAGCAATACTCTTGGCTGATATTTGGCGGTCCTCCATGATCATGTCATGGATGGCTTTCACATTTGCATGCACAGAGACAGAAACAGGCCTTCCACTGGGTCTCTCACTTTCAACACTGAAATGGCCAGTTAAAACTTTTTTTAAAAAAAATTGACAAATCAACATTTAACTGTTCCATATGAAGGGCCACTGTCACCCATAGTTTGTGACATTTCATTGTGGATCTGCTTTGCACTTTTCCCTTGGAGAAACAGGAACTTGTTTATGGTCATATGCTCTTCCACATTGAACTTTTCTGGAGGTGCTGCCCTGTTCACTTTGGACCTGAACATGAAAGATAAGTTAAAATCCTAGATAGCTGATTTTTGCACCATTGAATACAGACAAATTGGCCAATAACACCCTGCAATTTATAGCTTCCTAGCTCATTTTTTTCTGAGAAAGGCTCAATACTTATCAGCACCCAGGTTGCTGGAACCTGAAACATATGGGTGTGAATATGGATATAGCATGAAACTGACTTATTGTCTGTGGTCTCTCCAAGGAACAATTCTTGTACAAGATTTTTATTACTACTGCTGAAGAGTTAATTTAGCTCATAATTATTAGTTACAGTTGGCAGGATGAGATGGCCTTTCCCCAGAGTCTGCTACAAATTGCATGAGCTGGCAGAGTCCCAGTTTTAAAACTCAAGATGACCAAACTCTTCTGGTCAGGCAATAAAGGCTCAGCTATGCAGATGGCTACAGAAAATCTCACCATCTTGCAAGCTACAAAGAAACCCTCCAATTAAGAGCTCTAAAATGTTTGGTCTAAAACTCTCCATGTTCTGGAAAAAAAAGAGTGTTTGTTGCTAAATTTTGCTTCCTTTATTCTGACAAAAATGTTTATGTCTATAATCAACTCCTCCCAAAGAATATGATGTTACTGAGTGAAAACAAGTATTTATTTTATGTATTTATTTAAAATATTTTTCCTGCCTTTTCCTTAAAAGGACATAAGGTAGTTTGCATCATTAAAAGACAATACTTGAAGCTAAAAATGGTAAGTATACAAATACTAAAAAGGATCAAACATATACTATTCTAAGAAATGGTAAATAAAAAACAAAACCAAAAAACATATTGACAGCAGAAAGGCGCAACTGTCCATTTTAAAACTCAATCAAGACAGCCTGTCACTGAAGCAAAGCTTGCCTGAAGAGAAAAGTATTCACCAGCTTATGGAAGGAGAGCAAAGATGGGGCCAGTCTGGCCTACTGTGGGAGCGAATTCCAGAGTCTGGGAGCAGCTACAGAGAAGGCCCTCTTCTGTGTCCCCACCAAACACACCTGTGAAGGTGGTGGGTCTGAGAGAAATACTTCTCATTATGTTAACATCTGGGTAGGTTCATAATGGGAGAGGCAGTTCTTGAGATAGCTTGGACCCAAGTTGTCTTGGGCTTTATTGGTTAGAACCAACACTTTGAATTGTGCCCAGAAACGGATTGTATGCTGTGTTTAGTTGCAGGAGACAACTGAAAAAAAGAATTGAGTTCCGTGAACAGAGATATGGAGTTATCTAAGGTGCAGAATGCATACCTCACTAGTCAAACCATTTTTAGTGCTTAAAAAGAAAGGATATCCATGTTGGGGCAATATGTGTGTTAGACCAGATCATATGATTTGTACTGTGACGCAGTGGCTAGAATGCATGTTTCAGAACATATAGGGGCCAGTATCTTACTTAGAGATTGGATATACAGTATTCCTTTTTTGCATGACAACTCCCAGAATCCTCCAACCCACACTTACTATAGCAATTGGAGGATGTTGGGAGTTGTAGTCAGCTAAACGATTTTTGTTGCTCTTGCTAATTCCTATCATCAACAATCTAGCACCCCGTCATCCCTACTAAATGCTGATAAGATGTTTTGTGCAAGCTTTTGCCATCATAAGGGGAAATGTGTTCTGGTGGTTTGCCCAGAGATAACTGTCATTAAAATCCTGCATACATCTAGATTAGGTGCATCTTGCAAATTGAAAATGAGCAAACTGCCATATACTTAAAAGCTCCATGCCTCTCTTGCTCTAATCCAGTGTGATTTTCTGGGTGAGCCAAAGCTGATGCATCTAGGATTACCAAATATTAAATGGATGGGATTTGTTTTGCCCTCAGTTGCTTTATTTACTATATATATCTATTCTGACCAATGATGACAATAAGACTGTTATGTAAGTCCACATACAATACAGCAGAAGAAGAATTAAAAGAAAAATAACAAATCAAGGAAAAAATCACTAATCTTAGAACTCCAGAAATACTGAAACATCTACAGTTCACTGGAGGGTAGTTAAAATTAAACATTGCAGGTGTCTGGCTGTGTGCTAGAAAGGAAACAGATTCATGGGGCCTAGTTGCCTTTTAGAAGGAACACCATGGAAACTGGCCAAAGACAACAATCAGTCAAGCCCCTGACAAGATTTTCAGGACATCAAATGAGAGTGGATCCTAGTTGCTTCTTTGCCCAAGCAAACAAACAGACTTTATTTCAGAATGTTCAGAGACTATCCTCTCTTCTCTTGAACTAGTCATAGTCCAGTGCTGTTATGTTTGAAGTGAATACACCTAAACATTTGAATTAAGTAAACAGCCTTGGGCGCCATCTTGGAATCAAAGCATTCTCACATTCCATATGGAGAGAAACAGTTTTTGGCATAAGGAGTTAATGGCTTGAGCTTTCCATTATTCCTTGTCCCAAGTGTATGTGTGTTGTGTCTGGAGGAGGAGGCCAATTTAGCTAGGCTCATGTATTTTCCTTCTGCAGTACAAGAATAATTGCAGGTTTGCTATGAATGGCTGCCTCAGCAGAGACTGAACATTGAAATATAGCAAGTAAAAAGTTTATTGGGAGACTGTAATTGTGTGGTTTGTTGCAATGGATGGAACTGAGGAACTGTATAAGCTGATTTTCTGTGGCTTCTTCCTTTTTCATGTTGATACCTTCTTTTGTTGCTGCTGGATATTTTTGGATTTTAAGCACTGTAAAAGAGATCGGAAAATTCTTACATCACTAAGGGAACTTTTTTAGTTGCGCTGTTGTATTAACAAGGGCCGGCCTCTACTATGCTGAGGCTCAATGTCAGCATGAACAGAGACACAGTTTTATGAAACAAACATCTTGTGTTCACCCTTTGGCAATCAAATGGGTGCTAGAACTGTGGGTACAGTGTACCATGATAAGGTACAAACTAGTGGATGACTGTTTCCTGCCAGCATTGCACATGTTCAGCTCTCCCCTGTCATCTTGTTTGCTATTGTCTTTCCTCATTTTGCTGCACCCTCAATAGTTGTGCTGTTACAGATAAAGAAATTCTGAGCCTGTCACCATCATGGCTAGGCAAGTGCTGAACAACCTCATGTCCCTTCTTCACAAATATCTTACCAGCAGTTGCCTCTCTTATCTCTGATTCGTAACATAGCCTCCTGTGTGTATAGATATAAACAAGCGCTTTGTAGTGGTTTTTTATTTTTTTGTTTTGTTACTTGAAAGGAGTACCTGTACTCTGAGATTATTTTATTGTCCCGTGTGGTTCCAGTTGCGACCCTCGGAATTTTTCTAACATGAAAGGGTGACCTGCTACAAAATGTATGTATGTACAGTATATTATAATTTAAAATGGTGCAGCCTGGAATGTTCTTTTTCACGGAGGCAGCCAATAGCTATGCTTTCTTTCAGGTTATTAAACCTTGCACCCCTTCACAACAGACAGTCAGTTCTTTGTACCACTGGGCATACCAGATCCTCATTGGCCTGTTTTTGGTTTTGCAGCCTCTACTCAAAACATTTTTTGCGCATCTGTGGATCTTGGTTTCCTTCTGCTGTTTGGCTGCATAAGCGTCGGTGCTCAGACGGGTAATTTGTTATCAATACACATGATTCCCTCTCTTAAGACACAAGTTTATCATCATGAATAAAGCTTTGAGAGATCATGAAAATACCTACATCCCATCTCAGGGCTCTTATGAATTATTTTGAAATCAAACCATAGATTGTATTTGTGTAATTACACTTTTTGACCCCTTTATTTTATATTTGGCAAGAACAAAGAAAGCTGCTCAGAAAATGTTACAGTCTGAGCTCCACCAAATCTACAGCTTGGTAAGTGTACCAGAGTCTCTTTGGTGCCCAGCAATGACTGTCAGCAGTCACACATACCATGATCCCTTTTACTGGAGAACGACATCCTAATAATGCTTGGGTTTTCAAAGGAGGAGATGCATGTATGAGTACCGAGGTTTGGAATAAATTATTTCAGTTTTGCAGAGAACATGATGGCTATACTGTACTATGATTAGAAATGGAAGCTGAGACTAGTTACTCCTCTGCCCTACTTTTCATGATTGATCTGTTCTGTGGGCTGTGTTCCTTCTCTATTGCTTTTATTTCCCCTTGCTGGAAGCAGCTGACTTTCTAGGCAAGGGCATGTGTTACAGTTGATGCCAGTGATTTCAGCTGTACTCTCTGTGTTTTCCCCTTTGCATTAGGAAATGGACAGAATTTGTCATCAGCTCCATCCAGCACTGTGTCACACTTTTTGCCTTCCCATGGTGAGGCTGGAAATTTTAGCTCCTGGACAACTACCCCTGCTGCAGCCACCGCCACCGTGGATGGCAACATCACATTGACATCAAATGCCAGTAACTCAAACCTACCTGAACCTCTAGCTCCTACCACAGTTGGTTCTTCAAACACTGTAAGACCTCAGAATACAACCAGTGTCATCAACGGTAGCATTGACATTCTTCCTACCCCAACTGCAAACCTAGTGGAAGGTACCCACAATAGCCTGGATGATGCAAACCCCATCAATACCACATCCATGGTTAGTTCAAGCACTAACTTCACAGCTACAGAGACCTCACCGTCAGAGGCACAAGGTAAGACTGAGTAGTCCTCAAACCATAATTGACTCTTTAAGCAACAGGGAGAGAATTTCCACAACAAGCTGTCTTTTGTGAAACACCTGAAAAGCGCCTTTGGATTTAATGTTGCATTTTTATTCAGTCTCACATGTGAGCTTAATCTTAATGGGTTTGCAGTTGAACATGTACCATCTTCAGTAACAAGTAGAGATGAGGGTATTTGTATACGCACAGGTGAAACTAACGACTGTCCACTCACGATTTCACCACTACTGCTGGCTCCGCAGAGCCTTCCTATTATGCTATTTTCTGCAATGGATTAGCCACTCTCTGACCTAGCAGAGAGGCTTGTCGTCCCGCCTCCTGCCAGGAGTGGGTAATTGATTGCGGACAACGGCGCATGATAGGAAGGCTCTGCGGAATCCCTGGGAGCGGACCCTCGTTATTTCCACCAGTGTAGGGATATTCGTATACGACTATGAAAACCCCCATCTCTAATAACAAGCAGAGGAACTATTGCAAGGTTATTTTTCTCAACGGATATTTCCATTTTAGGGAAAGGATAATATTTTGTGATGCTTAAATCATAACTGACTAGAATAAAGAAAATTGAGAGGCATGAAATAGATACAGTTTACTTTAAAAAAGAGAGAGAGAGAAATAAAATTGTCCTACTTTTGATACTGTGCCTACTCAGAGAAAAAGACTGCCTTTGCCTGCTTCATTGAATTATGTTTCGAACTGAGGATATTTATTATGTATGTGGCTGAGTCTTTGGCAAGCAGAAAGGACATTTTTTTCATAGTGACTGCTGTATGTAATTCCTTGCTATTTTAGTAGGAATGGCTGTTGAACTTTTTTCCGAGAATTCTTGTGGGGTTTAACAGATACTGAAACTCACTTCCGTGTAAAAAGTAAAGTTCTTTCCTACTCTTGGGGTATAAACACAGGGGGCAAGTAGAAATTTGATGCGAGACTAAATTTGTAGCAAAGACTCCTGAATGAAAAACAGGAAGATTAGGGTGTTCCTCTTTTATAACTGTGTTTGAGAAGGTAAGAGACATCTGCACTCTTGCCTAAAAACTACTCTCAAACTCAGGAAAAATGGGAAGGCTAGAAGTCATGTTCACCTGCTAGCATCAAAGGATAAGAATATTGCAGTAAACTCTGCTGCATAGTTGCTCACAATCAGTAGCAAATCTTATATGCTGTGAACCGAACTGTCCAAAGGCACAAAGCTGTTAGATCTGGCCATTTTTGCTAGTCCTATTCATTTCAGGAAGGTCTCTCTGAGAAAGAATTCATTGGTCTTTCTGGAGGGAAAAAAGGCTATGCCTGATGTGTCAGATTAATGACATAAAGTCCATATTGATGTAGACATTGATCTTGATGACACTCATCTCACTGATATGTCTAGGCAGCCCATTGATTACTGATGCTCTAGTGTCCAAGACTGTACAACTATGCACACCACAAAAGTGCATGTAAACCTGTTTGGCCCATAAAGGGATAACCTGCCCCTGCATGACTCACTTTTGAGTCACAAGATAACATAAGAGCTGATTTCTGAGCCCTGGTTTGATTAAAATCCACTTAGAACTAAGGAATTGGTCCCAAAGATTTAAATGAATCCCTTCCAGGGTGACGGGGAGGCAAAGCTCACCGCAGATATCTAAATTTTTATTCCCTGCATTCCCACTCTCTAGATATGAGAAAGCTTAGATTCCATGATTGGAATAAATTATCCAGAGCTCTGTTCCAGCAGAACATGCATGCTGCTGCATGTATGTATAACTGTCCAAAATATTAGACATCGTAATCCATATAATGGCAGATAAGCATCCCCTGGTGCTCTAGGTCAAGGTTTGCAAGTGTTTAGTATTGCTGTCCCTTGTAGAACCTATTGTACCCATGTGGGTACTGCCGAAACAGTAAAAGACAAACTAGTCAGGGTGGACTAGGCTTTATTACTCTTGAATCACTTTTGGCTATATCTCTGCAGGATCAACAATTGTTCCTCAATCACAGTCGTCCACATTCAGCACCCTGGAGCCCACAGAAAAGAGACCAGAAAGCATACCAGTGACAGACCATGGAGCTATCACAGAGGAGAATGTAACAGTTTCTACATCAGCTCCAGATGCCACTAGTGGAGAAGTACTTGTGTTGAATGCATCCAGCACTGTCACATTAACACCTGGGTTTGTCTCCAACACACTCACAGCTCACAGAGTCACACCAGTGGAAACAGAGCAGCCAGTTAACCATGTACAAAAGTCATCTGTAGCTGATGTGGGAGATGATAATGAAGGTACTCACTTAAATACTCTTAGCCTACTCCAGGGAACAGGAAGAAAAGAGTAGACTGAAAACTAAATAAGAACAGTTATGCAGTTTATGGGTTCTACAGGTTATAGAATCATGCTGAGGAAGTGTGTGTTGCATAGAAACACATAAACCTATTGTGGCAGAGCAGCTTTTGGAGAGGTTGTGGCTCAATGGCAGAGCATATAATCTCATCAAAAAGATGGTTCAATGTTTGGTGTCTTCAAGAAAAACTGGAAAAGAATTGTGCCTGGGCAACAAGTACTGCTCCACATAGTCAACACTGAACTAGCTGGACCAATGAGCTGGTAACTTAGTATATAAGAAGAGTAGGCAACTGTACCTCTGCAGATGTTTTTGGGCTACAACTCCCATTATTCCTCACCAGCAACTGCCGGCTGTGATGAGTTGCACTCCAACCACATTGGAAGGCCACTGTTCTTTTAGTGAGACAGAGCAACTTTTATGTGCTGGAGGTTGATCTTTTACATACAGTAGATGGTAGGGTAACTGAATATACTTCTACAGCCTTGATTCATAGACTGTGTTTCACCATCTCTGTGCAGATCTGCCTAGCATGTCAGAAGCCAGTGCAGTAGGTGAGGACCCCCTGGTGATTGCTGTCATCTTCATCTTCACTGTGACGGTAGGGATTCTGGCTCTTATGGGCTTCTTAAGGTACCGTCAACATAGCAGTCGGCTACAATTTCGGCGACTACAGGATTTGCCTATGGTAAGTACCCACAACTAAACCTCATTGATTTGTCCTGTACCCCTGTCTTTATAAGTTGCTGTCACCAGCCCTTCTCCCTGCCTGAAGTAAGCTCTGGCCTGGGAACCTTGCTGTGGACGATAGGATGTGGTCGTTTAAAAGACACTGCTCAAAGGTCATAATGAGAAATATGCATGTGAGCAGGAGGTACACTCTCTACTACCAGTCACTAAGCTGAGAAAGCATAATTCATGAGAGACTAGGCGTGGAAGATGGAATACTCCTAGTCATTCATTATACATGACAAAGGGACATATTACTTCTGTTTGATTACTGGAAACTGCCGGTTTGCATAGAGAAAAGCTGGAAGCTCGCATTATGGACTTCTTCACACTGCACAGATTAGGAAGTGTGGGCATCTCACCTGTTGCAGTTACCCATTTCACTGCACCGTAAAATAGAATTGACATACTTCACTTGAAACTGTCCATCTCTTCCTGAAACAGCAATTCTTTGCTATTGCACTGACTTGGTACTACTTTGGGATGGCTGTGGGTTCTACAATCATACTTAGGATGTATGTGTTTTACCGCTTGTCTTGATTTCCTTTTCCAACTCCTGCTTTTTCAGTTCTGCACAGAATTAACAGTGTTTTCTTTTCTTTTTTTTCTTTTTTTTTGTACACAGGATGATATGATGGAGGATACACCTCTTTCCCTCTATAGCTACTAAACTGCAAAACAGCGTTTTTGGTGCTGGTAAGTCAAGGGAGGCACAAAACTTGCAAAGGATCCTGACCTGGAAAGAGACTCCTATGTAAGAGTTGGGAGCTGTTGTACTGATCTGCAGATGACTGGAAAGCTGTGAGTCAGGTGACTCCATAAAGTCATGTTCTCCCCCTTATTTTTGAAAATTGAAGCCTGGCCCAGACTTCTTCATGGACTCCAAGAACTTCTCCACTTCTTCTTCTTTGGACTCTGTGCTTGGAGGCTCTATGTTCGGGGAAGTTTTTCCTAGGCTTTCATTGAGTGGCTGCATTCACTGGTTTATTGCCAGTGGAGGCCTTGCCTGGAATTAAAGTAGGTGCATTGCAGACTCTTATATAGCAAGAAGATTAAACAAGCCTTTTCAGCACAAGCCATAGAGTGTTTTACTTGTGGATGGACATGCAGGCAGATTCTGACTTGGAGATGTTGTTGGCTTCCTTCTTGAATATAAATTTTGTTTTAATTGCACTTTTATCTTTACATTTTTATCCATAGGATCTAAATATGTTCCAAAGGATAGAGCAGTAAAATGGAAAATAGTGATCCTGTCCTTGCTACGAGACCCCCAAAGCTCAGCTAATTCTTGGTAATGTGCTCACCACAGCTGCCAGTCAGATGTAACATGATTCCAATTGGACTTGAAGGCAAACGTTCTCTACTGTTGTTGTTTTCTAGGCAATGGTATTTTGAGGCATATGACATAACTTGATTGCTGCTGAACCATCTCCTCCTTAATATGGTTACATTAACTTCAAGGAGAACTAATGGTAGCTGCAATTTGGGTAGGGCTAGTCTGAGAAAGTAGTTTATTCTAGGTATTTGTTATTTACCCATCAAATCACTTCCAATTATAATAACCCGAATAGGGTTTTCAGGGCATGTGAGATGTTCAAGAGGCAGCTTACCACTGCCACCCCCTCTTCCCATGTGTTTCTATGGCTGGGTAAGGATGTGAACTCTAGTATGGCACCATGATCCACTACACACTCCAACTCTCATATTCTAGTATTCTCATCAAATTGTGCTGCTGTGTTGAGCAACAAGGTATGGCATGTAAGATGCCCATCAGTTATTTTGTGTCCAGTCTACTAGTTCAGATCAGCCAGTACTGTTAGCATCCCCTCCATGAGCAATGGTCCTCTGATACCTATACTTAGTAATGTCACTGGAGATTATATCTAGCTGTCCCTGCTATGTGCTTGCCAACTGGCTATGGTAGTTAGCTATTCGGCCCTGTTTTTTGGGAAGAATCTTAGTATTAACTATTAGCAGACACCTTCTATTCACACAGAACCCTCCTTCCCCACTTCGTCTTTCTCATGTATGAAAAACAGTAAGTTCTTTCATACCTTGATTGCAAAATGAAGTCCAAATCATTGCACATGTAGACACAATTAATTTGGATTCATTCACTTCCAGATTTGCCAAATTATTCTCCTGGGTCTTCATTGCTGTCTAAAGAGATCTCTATCTAAACCTTTGTATTGTGCTACCCTCAGTCTGCAGCAGAACTGTTTGAGGGGGGAAAAGGAGTTTACAGTTATAACCTGATGCATCCAGCTATCTAACAAAACTCAAAAGATGGTAGGAGAGCTTTTCCTCCTTTTTTGCACGCTGACTGTCACACTGCAGATGGCTCTCTTCTAATGGACCCACCCACCTGACCTTCACTAAAGGGAACGGAGAACCTCAAATGTACTGGAGGAGAATGTATAAAAGGAGATTTGTGTGTGAGTGAACTCCTGCAAAGCTGCTCTTGCCTCATTTGCAGTTGAGTGGATTGTCATTCTGCTGTTTTCCTGGAGTGAGACCAGAAGGCTGTTTGAGGTTTCACTGCAAAAACAAGCAGTCTGTTTGACAGCATCACAATGGGCAAAGTGCCAACTCCTTATATGTCCCTTTGAAGATATCAGAAGCCTTTGAAGGTTTCTCTGCCTTGGTTTTATTATTATTAATTCCAGGCTCAGGCATCATTATATTCAATAAAAAGAGACTAGAGATCAATCTGAGTGGTTACCTTTGAAGCTAGAAAGGGGTGGAGTATATTCAAGCAAAAAAAAAAAAAATCAGTACTTCTGTGGCTAAGCCTCTTGCCCACTGGGACAGTGGCTCCATGAGTCTATGATAAGGCCACAAAATTGCGGGAAGATTTATAAATGCAAGATGGAAGGGAACATAGCCAGCCAGTGCCAGAACTTGGTTCCTTGGAGAAGAAGTGTCTAGACCTCTGTGTTCATTGGAGACCTTTTGTTGGAAAATATTCTACACTGGGCTGGGGAGAAAGTCCTATTTTAATAATTATTATTCTGATTTGGCTACAGCAGTACAAATGCAATGGACTTCAGTTACATCCAGACAATATAATGGCCTCATCAGTTAAAAATCACAAAGCTGTAGTGGTTGCCCTTGTAATGCCTGAGGAGCAGGGAGACATCAGATTTCCATGCAGTTATGAAACCTCGCTGTGGTATTTGTGCAGTCTCACTCTTGCCAAAATTAACCCATCTTGAATAGTCATTGTGAAAAGAGGATGACTTGAGGGAAAAAATATGTGCACCTTGAAGGGCACTGTGAAAATCTAATGAAAAGACTCACGTCTGATTGCGGGTTTTCCCAAGCTTTGGTCAGACATTCACATTGAAAGGTCCCTTTTTTTCTGTATCTTTTCTATGAACATCTAGAAATGTAATGTATAATAAATTTGTGTGTTGTATACATTATAGAGCTACAAGGTTTCTGGGAGCTTGGAACAGTTGTGATTCCTCATTGTACATATACATGGCAAGTGTTGATACCTGCATAATGTGTAAAGTAGCAATAGCTCAGTGGTACTGTAAAAAATAAGGGCTGTCAAGGATATTAGCTTTGTAGTGTAGTAATATTTTAAGAGCTAGAGGTTCTTAGGCTTGAGGCAAAGCCATTCTGTCAAGACAGAAGACCATCTTGGAAAATCTCATGTTTTATGCCTGTCTGTCTTCCATAATTTTCCAGGAGATGCTGGTTTAACCCCATCAGCTTATGTACTGCTTATTTACCATCTCTAAAAAATTTCAGTTTGCCACTTGGCCTGCTTATATAATCAGGCTAGCCATATTAACAAGCAGCCATAATAAAAGGAATATTGATCCTGGGAGCCAGAAGTATATTATGAGATCACAAAAATATCTATGGGTGAGATGGCCAAACTAAGACTAATCACGAAATCTTAACAGTAAAGAGGATGGTATACTGTTCTGCACAAGAATATTCTTCCTTATTAGTCAAGTAGAGAACTTAAAACATAAAGCTAGAAGACTCTGCTATCTCAAGCCCAAGTTCTGTTTCTCCTCGTTCACTTTTAAATTAAAGGCAGCCAAAGGATTGGAATGTAGGACAGCTAACCTCATGGTGTTATATAAGAGCAAAGCTATTATTATGACATTACTTAATAGAAGCAACCACAGGGTTTTATTTCTAGACCATATGCATCCTCAAAATCCAAGTATTTTTTGAAAAATAAATGATTGAAAGGTCACACTAGGTACACTGAAAGCTTGGCTTCCCCTCTCAAGTACAGCCTCAGTAACTAGAGGTTTAAACGAGAAATCTCCCTGCTGCATCTGCAAATCTTATCAGTTTTCACATCTTTTTATCTACCACAGTTAAGCTACATTCAGATGTGCTTTTTAGGTTCTCTTTGACAAGATCTTCCAGAGTTGAGACACTTAGAACATTTAGTACTGGCTACTTGTTCTGTATTAAGAGGCACTGTTTCTAGCAGCATTTCCACAGTGAAGTTGTGTTTGTAATCTTTGAGCGATCTTGTTTCAACATTAGAATAGCTCAGTATAGAGGCTAAGACAGCATCTTATTCTGCTTCTCTCTTCAACTCAACAGACTGGAGCTCAGACTGCATGGAAGTATGTATAATGCACCATGAGCTGTCTCCAAGGAAGTACATCACCCTTAGTTAATTCCTCCTTGGACAATAACAATGTCTCTTCTCTTTTGATAGACTAAATAGCAACGTCCTGTGCAGCAAGTCATTACAATTTATGTCATGGTATAAATTCTACCCCCTTTGAAGGTGGCCTCTATCATCCAGCACTTCTGGCAATATGAATAATTTTGGTTTAATCATGGTGCAAAGACTAAATCAGAACATATTCAAGTAACACAATGAATTTTATTTTATTTTTATTTCTCAACCCCATCCCATTTATCAAAATTCCAGCAAAACCATGACCTTCTGCTTTAAAACCCAGCAATACTGTATATTAAAGTCATATTTGTTGGCAAATGCACACAGGATTTACCTCATAACTACAACAAGGTACTTTTATTGTTCTGTCCAGAGGTCATGAATGAAAACTTTGCAGGCTGTATTTCCCCACCTCTGAAAACAAGGTAGTGTGTGATAAGCAATCCAAAATTAAGCTCTAAGAGCAACCACTGTTGGCTTGCATTCTTTGAACTATAATGGAGCATCTGTTGATTTAATCCCTTGTGGGCTAATTTCCTCCATTATCCCTCTGTCTTTAATCCCTTTTGTTTCTGAAGTAGTTTTACCCTGAAATTGGACATGCTGCTCAGTAGTGACACACAAAACATGAGGTACCCACCTGTCAACATAAAACTGTAAAGGGGGGTAGGGGAAATTGGGGAGAAAGAATCACAATAGCTGGAATCAAAGGTCAAGACAATCTTGCAGGCCCAACCAAGGTGCTACAGAGGAAATAAATCAGGAAGAGGGTTTACAATGTGTTGCTTATAAAGCCCTACCATTAAATTCTGCATCACGAGACTTTCAAGAATTCTGGATCAGCAGATAGAACTGCATCCACGCCAATAAATGTATCCACCTGTGCTTTTCCCTATTACTCTAAAACACTATCCAGAGGCATAAGAGATGAACAAGCCAACAGTCCACTGAGGTACTGGGGAGAAAGATGCTTTCTGCTGCAAGCTATTATTTCAAAAACGGGACTAAAAGTTTGCAGGTAATTCACTCAACATGAACAAGCCTATGGGACAAGACTGCAAAAATGCAGGCAATGGAGTGCTGACTTTTTAAGCAAGGGAAGCTGCACTATTGAGAAACACAGTGGGAGGCAGGCTACCACTGACTTACTTGCCCCTCCACCATGCATCATCAGTTTTTGCACTCAGCATTGCTCTCCATGAAGTTCCAGGAACAGATCTGCTGCATCTAGAACTATATATAAGTGGAGGAAAGGAGCTTGGGAACATTTTTAACATAAGCAAAACTAATTAAGAGTTAAGCAGGCCATAAGTGAACAACCTTCTCCTCAAACCTGCAGTCCAACAGGACTCCAATATATAAACATTAACTATACTGTGTAGTTTACCTCTGTACTCATTGGCCATCTTGGCTTGCTGCTTCTTGATGGGCCTTATTGTATGTGAACATCCAGTACAGTATGAAATGTTATCTATATCAGATTTATGAAAACTAGTTGTACACTTGCCTGGCAAGAACAATTAAGGCCTATTTCTGAAATTCACTGAAAAGTTGGACTAAATGGACCCTGATCTATTGTTGCACTGACCTCTTTCCTGCTTCGTTCTCTACCAAATACTGTACAAGAACCCACAGACTGTACTAGCATGCAAGCAAGCAGATATGGTTCTGAAAAGCCTAGTTCACTCCAATTTGGACACTGGAACAAAATGGGCATGAAAATAGAGGAAACATCCTTTCCTGTCCCCAAAGACAATGCTTGCCACATATGTCAGCTCAGCTATCATCTCAGGAAGTGTTAATTTGGCATACGCACCACCACCCCGCTCCTCAGAGGACTGCTTCCTTCGTGTCTGGTTCTACTTTAGAAGTGCTGAACTAGGAGAGCCAGATGCTCTTGTGTGGATATGCACAAGGAAACAGATGATTTTCTATTTAAAATGGATTAATTTCCAGAATGTGCTCAGCTTTAACATTTGGCTATAAACTATTTTTACACTTATGAAAATTGGGAATGACCAGTTCATGAAGAGAAACAAAGCATCTCTGCTCCACACGCAGCAGGACTAACAAGGCCCCAGTTCCCTTCCAGAAAGGGATGCTGGAGATTCCTGAAGAACAGAGGCAAAGTCTCAGCCTGCATATCATACTCTTTGATGTATTGTCTTCACACACACACACCAGGGTTCCTACCTCATGTCACATCTGTACAAAAAAGCTGCCTGCATGTAGAAAAACAGTCTATACATTTCTGTTCTCTTTAATTTGTTTCCTCGTTAGAAAGAATGAGGCAGTCCTCAGGTGAAGCTTTAAAGGTCGCTTAAGCTGAGGTCAGGCAAACTGGAGGAATGATCACTGCCAAGCTCTGCTTTCTCCTGCATGCCACCAGCTGCTCCACCAGGTGTATTCTCCTCCAACTCCAAGTTTGGCATGGAAATTTTGTCATCTAGAAACACAACACAGTTGTTAGCCCACTACTCCGATCCTCTGATTAAATACAACATCACCATACTGCAGTATCACAACAATGATTTTACAATTTCCTGCAAGTGTTGTTGAGTATCCAGCATGAAAAGAGCCTTCAGACACTCGCTACTGCTCAATTAGTTTCCTACTATAATATGAAGGAGCATATTTAGCTGATTTTGTAGACACGTAAGATTTTAGGCAAGGGGGAGTGACTAAAGTTACAAGTGGATACAGCTCTAAGAAAAATCCTAAAAATATCTTGAGGGCATAGAAGAGATTTACACACAAAGGGAATTTTGACAAGTTTCTCTGGAAAAATCAAATCAGCAGGATTACTGTACCATTAAAAATAACTCTAAACATTAAAGAGTTTTAAGAGACCCCACCCTTCCCTGGCCCCAGTTCATAAGAATTTTAAGCATCTTAATGAAGTAGGGCGTGAATTTCCTATCAAGAATGTTAATCCTTTCCTTTCCCTAAAATGGGGTTTCTGCAATGTGAAGCAATATGGGCCTTAATGTTCAAGTGGAGGGACTCCTGCAAACAAGCCATTGTCAGCCCCATCATCCTTCTCATTAGTCAGACAATGTCAGATTTCAAATAAAAAATCAAAACCAAAGTACATAAACCTCAAGACTATAGCGAAACCAAGCAATCATTTTAGAAAATATTTCCAAATGTTACCTTTGCATCTAGACTCACCAGCAAACTGTTCAACCTCTGGTTCACTGAAGAGTTCATCTGAGCTGACATCTGTGAGGCTGAACTCAGAAACAGAATCATCACTCAGAGAGAACAAGGCGTCTTCAGACAACAATTCCTTCTTTTTTTCTAGGAGATAAAACACCCAAACCAATTAGGGAGAACAGCAAGCTCAGCTTCCTGTGGCAATATTAACCATTTGTAACAAGCTGGAAAACTGCCCTTCAGCTGCCTGAAGCCCTCAGGATCCAACACAAGCACACTCTTTTAAGTTAAGATGTTTTTTAATTCTATAAATGTAAGAGACAGGAAAACTCTGAGTCTCCCTGCATGTATTCTGTTTATTTACAGTGGTGCCTTGCATTAACGACGTTAATTTGTTCCAGCAAAATCGCTGTAGAACAAGAACGTCGTAAAGCGAAATTTAAAAACCCATAGAAACATATTAAAACCCGTTTAATGCGTTCCGATGGGCTGGAACCTCGCCGTCCAGCGAAGATCCTCCATAGGGCGGCCATATTCGCTGCCTGTGCAGCGAGGAATCCATCCCAGAAAACAGTGGGGGGGCATTTTGTTTAACCGGTGGCCATTTTGAAACTGCCGATCAGCTGTCCGAAAATCATCGTTTTGCGAAGAATCGGTTCCCGAAGCAGGAAACCGATCATCGCAAAGCGAAATTCCCTCATAGGGAACATCGTAAAGCGATTGCAAAAAGTTCTTTGTAATGCACTTTCGTCGTTAAACGGAGCGATCGTAAAGCGAAGCCCCACTGTATTACATAGTAAAATGAAATGCCTTTCTGACCATCTGTAATTCCACAAGGAGAAAATTGCTCACAACCAAAGGCAAAAGAGAAGCTGGAGTAAAGGCACGGTTTTGTTTTAGAAAGGGATTAATTAAGAGATGCACACATTTGTGGTTTTGGACTAAAGCTCCCAGAATTCCCCAGGTAGCATAGCCAGTGGCCGTGCATTCTAATGAAATAGCACTTACAGAATGAAATTTGTTTTCTACTTACGTCTTCCTGTAAAAAGATAATTTATACAGGATAAAAGTATGCTTTCATATAATTGAGCGCATATTTTACCAGAAACACTGACGGGATTCGAGTTTCCAGCAAAAAGGATAACTCATGTCACGTGAGCCCACAGGGACCATTTTTCCTAAAATACCTCCATGTATTATGTTATATAAATCTGTACTTACTCGGACATATGCTTTCCTCCTTGAGTGGCCCTGGGTATAGCTTGTCCTCCAAGTGAAGAATATTCATCTGCTCTTTTAGGTTGGATATAGCAGATCTGGTTAAAGAACAAGGAGATACAAACACGTAGCCATAATTTGTTCCATGGGAAGAGTGCAGGTAAAATGCAGCATGAACTTTATTTTATTTTATTTTATTTATTTATTTGATTTATACCCCGCCTATCTGGACTACCCGTCCACTCTACGCGGCTTACATATAGGACTCTTGTGCTGAAGCAACAGGAGGCAGTGAGCCTAATGCAGGATGAAGATATTCATACACATACATACCTGCCAGGGTACTGCAGACAATGTGAAACCCACAGTTAAGTTCAGAACAACTCTAGGCAATTCTCTTACAGACAGTGCAAGGGAATGGATGGACTTATAACTTCCAACATCATGATTCTATGAAAGGGGCCAGAGACTGAAAAGACTGGGGAAATGAGGGAGGCAACAATGGTTTAAAGGCATAGGTTTGCAAAGAGGTACAGGCAGACAGATAATCTTACTAGGCATCCCTGTCTAAGCAGTACCATCAGTTTCATTGAGTGGTCATGGCAACAGCAAAAGTTCAGCGTTATATTGCACCTTCACAGGCAGATTGCTGCCTGACAAACTGCTTTTTATGCCCTGCACTGTGATTAGGGGGCCCTCTGGTGGATAGCAGCCTACTTCTCACCAGGTTCAGCTTCCCCCTGTACATCATCATGGTGCTTTCAAACTTAACAAGCACGCCTACAAACAATAACGTGTATGCATATGCATTTGAAGCATCCCAACATGGGTTTCCCTACTTGACATGATTCAGGTCCTGCTGAGTGCTCTGGGTGTCGATCCTGGCTTTCTCCAAATCACGAGTTTGAGCTTCATAAGTGTTCATCAGGTCTTCTAGCAACTGGATAAACAAACAGGGATAATATTGCTGGTTTTGCTTCATGTTGTCTTTAAAAGACAGTGGCCTAAATCCCAGTGTTAGTCACACTGAGTCTATTATAATTACAATTAACAGGTGATGTTGTTATGCACCATCAAATCACCTCTGAATTATAGTGACCCTATGAATAAGTGATCTCCAAAATTTCTTATCCTCAACTGCCCTGCTCAGTCTCTTGCAAACTGAAGCCTGTGACTCCTTTTATTTTAAACAATCCATCTTGTATTTGGGTTTCCTCTTTCCCTGCTACCTCAAATCCACATTATTGTCTTTTCCAGAGAATCCTGCCTTCTCATGATGTGCCCTAAGTAGGACAGCGTCAATTTAATCATTTCTTCTGGGCTTGTCATTTCCAGAGTAGAACGTTTTCTTTGAATGAAATTATACCAATCCAGTACAGTCAACCCTTGACTTACAAACATCCCTACATACGAAGTTTTTGATTTACGAACGGCTCCATTCACAAAAATTGGCATCGACTTGTGAATGGAGCCTCGACCTACGAATGAGGCTGAGACCCCATTCGCAACTCAATGCCATTTTTTGCTAACGCCATTTGTCGCCTTCAGAGGTCTCAAAGGGCTTCCCTCCCCCGACATTGGAGGAAGCCCTTTGATTGCTCTGAAGGCAGGCAGGGAGAAAAGGCAGGAAATTCAAATTTTCCGCCCTTTCGCCCTGCCTTTTTGCCTTCACAGGTCTCACAGGGCTTCCTCCAATGTCGTTGGAAAGCCCTTCGAGACCTCCGAAGGCAAAAAGGCAGGGAGAAAGGGTGGAAAATTTGAATTTTCTGCCCTTTCTCCCTTCCTTTTTGCCTTAGGAGGTCTCAAAGGGCTTCCTCTGATGTCGGGGGAAAGCCCTTTGAGACCTCCGAAGGTGCTGATCGCGGTGGCGGAGGCGACCCTCAGGGAGGTCTCCCAGGGTTTGCCCGCCACCATGGGAGACCTCCCTGGGAGTTCCCGCCACTGCGATCTGCAATTTTGGAGGTCTCAAAGGGCTCACCCACCCCCCCAACATCGGAGGAAGCCCTCTGAGACCTCCAAAGGCAAAAGGGCAGGGAGAAAAGGCTGGAAATTCAAATTTCCCGCCCTTTCTCCCTGCCTTTTTGCCTTCGGAACTCTCAAAGGGCTTTCCGCCCGACATATTGTGATAAACCACAAAATGAGCAAGGTGGATTGGACTGTATGCTCAGAGCTCACTGAGTCCTTATCTTGTCAGGAACGATCCATGGACATCAGATTAAGTCTCGAGAAACTATGGTAAAGCTGGAGTGTCTTCTCCAGAGCACGAAGCCTGGGTAAAATAATATGGAAGACAGGCTGTTACTCAACCAGCAAATCCCCCCTCTTTACGTCACTGAAATAGTCCAATGGAAAGGCAAGAGCCAATACAACTGGTTCCAGCGACATCGCAGGAGTTGACAGAACGACACGAACTGCCTCCGGGACTCCGGCTCCAGATTTTGCCTTGAGGTTAACTCCTGAAGCCTTTTCCATCAGTGGATATAGCCACAAGGCAGTAGAAGTTTGAAATCGGAGTTTTCCTTCTCCTAGATGGGCTGCCTTCCAAGGCTGACGAGCCCCACCTATTTGGTCTGCTCCCTAAGAGTGCGGAGATTAGAACACAGGCCTCCAGGTACTGGACCTTGTGAACATATAATCACAGTGTATACATCATTGTATGGGTTTCCTTTAGTTGTATTAGTTTTATTCCATACACCACTTTTGCTAAAATATTTTATTTATTTATTTATTTGATTTATACCCCGCCTATCTGGTCCGAATATTCTGTCATTTATCAGTAATCTGCAATTTCCTTGACCCTAATAATATAGGTCATACAGCACTTTGAACAGGGGCTAAATCCTCCTTTATGTTAGCACTGTTAGCACTGAATGAATGGGCAACAATGAGCAAATGTCTTAAAATGTGTACCTTACAATAGCGAGTTTGGGTCTTCTTAATCTCATGCGTTGCAGACACTTGGTTGAACAGATCTTCTCCTTGTTGATCTAAAAGGAACAGTAAGTCATGTTATTTTCCTATCTGCACGCATCTTCCCTCTTCAAGCTCACAAGTCAAGAGATCTTTCTTCACTGCAATAGATATTCAGGTACAGTGGCCAGGGAAACAGGAGTATCAAGAAGTACTTGCCAAGTCTGTGTTTCAATTGCTCAACCTCTCTTCTGATGTACTCATACTCTTGCCACAGAACTTTTTTGCTAAAATAAGAAGGAAAACAGACCATTGGCAACAAGACCAAAGGGATCATTTCTCAGTATTAACTGTAAAATCCCCTAAAAGTTTCTGATGTTGCAACTTGTCTCTATGCCATTTTCACGCTTATAAAAGGGGGCAAATTAGAGATTAACTACATTACACAGTTGGTTCTTCATATGCTGGAAATGTATGGAAACCAACTTACTTCTACCCTCTAGGTACACAGTTTAAGTAACATGATATAAGACAGTGGTTAGTGAGGGAAAACTTTGTTCTCTTTGATGCAATAATCCCATTCAAAGAACTGGGCAGAAGCTACAGTATATTCAAGTCTTTGAAAAGATGCCCAAACTTTGAATCATATACTGTGAACCTAATTTTATTGCAGCAATTGTATTCCTGGTGCCAGCAGAAGTAGAACCCTTTGTTCCCTGTTTTCCTGCCCCACTCAGTGCTATGGTCAGTTGTGGAAAAGCCAGAGTGCTTCTGCTTGACGACTCAAACGCTGACCTTTCCAGCATTTCTTGCATGATGCCTGGGCTGGAAAAGAGGTCAGGAGGGCAGTCGCCATTGGACTGCTGAAAGACATGTTGCCGAAGGCTGCGGAGCTCACTCTTCAACCCTTCCATCCTGCGTCCTAGCACTGCTTCCAAGGCACCTTGCGAACTCTGCTGCAGCCGATTTACTTCTTCTGCAACAGTAAGGAGGGCAGGAGGAAAATATTAGCCAACAGGAATCCCTTTAACTGCTAGTAACAGAAAAAACTGAAGCAATATTGGGATCTTGATGTCCGTTCATTAGTGCTGCCAGGCACCCCACTAACTGCATGAGAGAAAGACATGTCTCCTCCTTCACAGCACAGAATCAGCAAAAATATTTGCAGCAAGGAAGCTTTCGGCAATCCCTCGTAAGCAAAGGAAACTGGTTAACCCAAGTGAGAAGTAAACAGAGAAGCCAAACCTTGATGTAAATGGACATGAGCACTCAGATGTAAGGAAGGATGTGTTGGGGAGAAAAGTCTAGTAGCATCCTCCATTTGGCTAATACTTTTTACCTGGCCTAAAATACCTACAGTACATGGACACCTTCTCAGGGCTCTTACCCAAGTATGTATTTCAAGCCACCGACTCAAGACACATACAAACATACAACACCGACAGGAGCCTAGGTATGGTTACTTCATATTTTCATATCTATATCTGGAAACTAGACCCTATCTACACTTTCAGATTCATTGCCCTCTTAAGGTCACCCATACAGAATGCTACAGTAACAGTATATTTACTTCAGTTATATCCTGACTTTTCCACCAATGCCAGACTCAGGTGGATTACACATTTAAAAACAGATAGAGCTAAAAATACAATTTGATAATATTAACGTTCATTTTAAAATGTAATAATATTAGAAGACCACCAATTTAAAATTACTAAATATACTCTAAAAGTGCATCAGCAAAGTCTCCCCTTACTGTGACTTATTTTAGCAGAGAAGGTACAGTTAGGGTATGCCCATTTAAATCAAGGAACCTTACACAGAGGTTGACTCACCAAATCTCCGTTGATCCAGTGAGCTTGTGTGTTTTCTGTGCTGTCAAGCTGGAACTGACTTACAGCGACCCTAAGATGGCTATCAAGGTAAGTGAGACATTTAAGGAGTGGCTGGCTTTACCAGTTTCACTCCCCTAGTGAGTTTCCATGGCCAAGTGCAGATTCAAACCCTGTTCACCAGAGTCCTGGTCCATCACTGTATCTACTGCACCACACTGGGAAGCCCCAGTGGGCCTACTTTACTACAATTTACTATGCTAAGCAACAGAATCTGGGTCACTATCATGTAACTGGAATAAAAAGGGGCCTTACTCAAGTCTCTTAGTCAAGATTAAAACAAGATTGAGTTTCTACTATTCACAAAGAGTTATAGGTTGAAATTCTCAGAGTATAGGTAGAGGAGAAGTGCTACAGAAATAGTGATGCATGCATTCTCCAGTTACAGCTGTTTTACGTCTTCAGCAGGCCTTATTTCAATGGTTGACGATCCCTTTCTGCTTCAAGTTCAATTCAAACGAGCTCTCAAGGGCCATATTCTAGTGGGGAGCAGGACCAAAGACAAGAGCATATTTTAGCTCAAAGCACCTGCCAGCCGCTGAATCTTAGAAGAGTCATTTCAACCTTTCAGAATGGGAGAAATCTGTACAGAAACTGGGAAACCTCTCAGTGAGGGTATCGTACAAAAGAGGATATGGCCGCCTAGCGATTCCAAGAAGACTGGAGTCAACACCAAGGTCCGAGTTTACCCACCCTTATCTCTTATATGTTCCCTCATCAGTATGGGGGAAAGGACCATAAATAGAAGACATTTGGAGGTCCCTTTGGGAGCCAAATGCAACCAACAGAAGCCTGATAAGCTTTTTCCATATAAAGCTATTTGCTCACTGGTACCTGCTGGATAGCTCTCCTTCATGTCCCAACACTTCATTTACATTTGGATGGAATGAAATCTTAGTGGCCCCAAATACCCATCAGATTCCCTCTCAAGGGAGTCCTGCCTTGGCTGCAAACCAACAGAAGGCCAAAGACCTCTCAGTAGACATTGTGCCTGCCAAACAGCTGATGCTTTAAGCTCTCCAGTTTGAGGTTTACCTGCTGCCTCATAATGGCCGATTATATATTGCATATTTCTTAAAACTGTTTTTGTAAGACACCTTGAATGTTAAGGAAACATGGGATACATGTACCTTGAATAGGGTTGAGAAGCTTGTCATGTTTTAAGATTTACAAGCAAACCTTAGTTTCAAAGACACCAGTGGAACGAGGCAGCAGAGCAGCGCTAGGGGAGAAATTGCCTTGTACCTTCTAGGAGGTTGATACTTTGCTGCTGTACTTCCTTCTCCTGTTTCAGCCGCTGTACTGACTGGGTGAGAGACTCTATAACCTAAAGAGGAAAATAAGAGAACCAGAGCTTCGGTAAGAGTAAATTCCACTTAGCAGTACTTTGCTTGGAGAAAAATTCCAGCCAAATGCTAACAGAGGTGAAGCTTGAAACTGCATTCCCCCACCCACCCAAAAAAAGGCCGTTTGCAGACAACATCAGAACTCACCTCTGAGAAGCAGACCTGGCACAGCCCTCTGCCATAAATTTTTGGGATCCTCATTTTTTTCTTTTGTGCTATGGCTTGCAGAAGTGGAGATGACCCATGAGAGCTTGCTTTTTGTTTGTTTTTAGTGGTCCAATAAAAGCATCACCTACTCTTGCATTTGTGTAATTTAAGGACCACCTAGACTTTTTCTATTTTTTTTTCTCACCTAGTTAAGGACCCGCAAAACCTCCAGCTGAAATTTAAGAAGTCAGAAAACCCTGATCGAATAATTACATAGAGAAGTTATTATTTAATGGACACCTCCTCCCTCATAATTTGAATGCCATCCTTCGCTATGGAGCAAGGGGTAGCTTTACAATATTTCCCACTGTTCTATCACCACAGTTTTGTGAGATGGGCTAAACTGACACCGTGACTGATCCAAAAGTCACAAACTCCTATCTTTCACGATGTGCGCAATTTTGCATATCATTTTGCTGCATTTATTGGTGTCTACAGCTGTCTACCTGATTAATCTTGAAACCTCTGACATTTTACCTCACACTTTCTCATGCCACTCTCTTCCAAACATGTTTACACAAATAAAATAGTATATAGAACCAGCTGCAATAAGAAACCCTTCTCCAACCACTGCAGAAAAGACACATATCACAGATTACCTGAGCTTGTGAATGCAACTGCTTGCTAATGGCTGAAAGCTCCTCAGTAGCCATTCTACAGCATGGGTGAGCGCCACATGGGATATTCAGGGGTGCAGGTCCAGTTTGTTGCTCAGCAAGAACAGCACCTTCAGTATGTATTCTGTCCAATAATAAATCAGCTGTAGGGGTGGAAAGCAGCAAATCTGACCAGTCTGTGAAACATGAAACCTTCTAGGGTCCGTCCTAGCCATTATAGATGTAGAGTCACTTTACACCAATATGTCACACAACGATGGACTCCAAACCATCAACAACACCATTCTGAGCGGGGCTATGGCACAGCTATGCACAAAACTCTAACTTTGTCCATAGACATACAAATTCACCTTTGATAATAATGTGTATTTTCAAATCAATGGCAAAACTATAAGCATGCACATGACATCAAAATATGACTGATCTGGACAGAATGGATGAAAACAGAATTATTTTAAAATCAGACTTTAAAAATGCAAGTTGGATTTTCAAATCTTTAAATAACATTTTCTTTGTTTTATTATTACAATATCATTTTAATACATCTATATATTTAATTCTATGTGATTTTTAATTTAAAGGTGCTATGGCTCAAAGATCTAATTATGGAATACGGATAATAAATTCTACCATTTCCCTGAAAATAAGACCTAACCTGAAAATAAGCCCTAGTATGATTTTTCATGATGCTCATAATATAAGCCCTATCCCAAAAATAAACCCTAGTTAAGTGAAACCTCACCCTCCACCATTGTGCAGCAACCAGAAGAAGATGACATGACTGTGTGTGAATAAATGTAGATTGTTGTACATGAAAAAAATAAAACATCCCCTGAAAATAAGCTTTAATGTGTTTCTTGGAGCAAAAATTAATACAAGACGCTGCCTTATTTTCGGGGAAACATGACAATTCTATATTATATGGCATCGTATTCATATAATTTTTTTAGAAGTTTTGCAAATTTAACGGGGATTATTTAAGTTAAACTTCCCATCTTCCCTAATACTTATTATAGTAGATATCAGAAAAATTTGCAGTTCTTGAACTTGGCTTGTGTCCTAAAGATACATACTTATGAACAGCAGTGTATTGAAACAGGGGATAATTGAAAAGATTGACCTTATGAAGACATTCCTAGAGCTTTTCTCTCAACATTATGTAGTGTTGAAAATTTTTGGCAGCCCTGTTAAATTATCCAGAATTGCTTTCAATAATTTCACTGAGGTTGTTGATTCGTTTAGAGTGGCAATCTTAGCTATTGTCACTCTGCTATTTTATGTAAATGAAGTGAATTTCTTCAGATGTGCTATATACAGTGGTGCCTCACATTACGAGCGCACCATTTTACGACGAAATTGCTTTACGTTGAAAGTTTTGCAATCGCAAAAGCGATCACAAAACAATGTTCCCTATGGGGGAATTTCGCTTTGCAATGATTGGTTCCCTGCTTCAGGAACCGATTCTTGTAAAACGATGATTTTCGGCCAGCTGATCGGCGGGTTCAAAAAGGCCGCCAGGTACGAAACATGGCTCCCTGCAGTTTTCTGGGATGGATTCCTCGCTGCACAAATGGCCGCGCTATGGAGGACCTTCGCTGGACACTGTGAGTTTCAAGCCTCTAGGAACGCATTAATCGGATTTTAATGCGTTTCTATGGGCTTTTTAATTTCATATTACGACGTTTTAGTTCTATAGCGATTTCACTGGAACGAATTAACATCATAATGCGAGGCACCACTGTATTATCTCTATTCAGAGAATATCCCTGAAGAATGATCCATAATAAATTCAATCTCAGCACAAATCCTATGGTAATTTTAGTCTGCCAGAACACAAACAGCATAACCTTTGGAAGCAAATTGCCTCAAGTTGAGAAATCACCATAGACAATATCTGTTGTGCACTGAGTTGGATGACTCAGTAAGCAACAGGTAATGCCTGCGCTGATTTGCCTCCAAATATAATGTCATTTGTTTTATGCTTAATTTAATGGCAGTTTCAATTTATACTTATTAATTTTTTTAAGAAAAGCAAAGAAAAAACACATAGTAACTCTTACCTTTGGAAGCAATGCTGACTGTGTTCAGACGCTCCTGTTAGAAGAAACAAGACACAGATGAGACAATACAATATATAATGCATTTCAAATGCTCTTGCTAAAACATTACATGAACTACCGGTATGTGGCTACATATTGTTTCCATTTCACCAAATGCAAGCCAGCATGTTCTGTATGAATTCTTAAACAGCAAATGGCACAACAAAATGCTCTGATCTGCTTTCAGCATGGTTATATAGCCTGAGCAAATTAGCACCATCTCCAAATGCCATATTTCCCAGGCAGTAACTACTGTTACTTGCTAGCTTCACCAATATGAAAAACACAGCAATGTTCCCAGCAGACACTATCTAGAAGTTTTCAAAACAGATTTAACTACCACTCTCAAAGCAGTGTACAAAGCAGTCAAAACAAAAGCTCTTTAAAAACTAAGATAGTAAAACAGCAGCTCAAATCTATAAATTAAAAAACTCAACAGCAAAAAAAACACACAGGAGGATCAAGTTCCCAAAACAGAATAAAACGAATCGGTTTTTTGTTTTTATGCACTCCATAAATGTCAGGAAAGAGAGAGAACAAGCCAAATGAACAGCTCTTGGAAGTAAGTTCCAAATCTGACTGGGTGGCAAACAAAAATCCCTGCCCCTTTCCAGAGACCAATATGGCTTTCCCAATAAGACAGAACTTAAAGTAGGGCTGCACTAATAAATTTTTTATTACACAAAATGTTCATACAGGAGGCGCTTTCTCCAAGATGCCCACAATGTTTTTCATCAAAGTATGAACAACGGTGATAAGTTCTATCTCCCAGCACAGAACACAGCTGGGATGCTAGCTGAAGCTTGTTTATATACATATACAGAAATTGCTTCTTAAAGCTGGTGGACTTTGTCTCCGCGGCATTAAAATTGCTTCTTAAAGTTGCAGATCACTAGCTGTTGCTCAGAATATATATTCTGAGCAACAGCTAGTGATCTACAACTTTAAGAAGCAATTACTGTACTTTCCTAATTACATTTGCAATCTATTTTTTCCTCCTGCAGCATATATTGTTCTCTTATTCCCTCTCTTATCCTTACAACAACCCTATAAGGTAGATTAGGCTGAGAGAGGGCAACTGGCTTAAAAGCACCCATTTTCAGACTCAATGACACCTGGAATCTGCATCTTCAAGCCTCATCTGAATACTCTACAATACACTGTTTGCTGATCAAGTAAAAAAATTACACTCACCCCTGCACTCTTGCCAGCCCTTGCTAGCAAGCCAGCAACCAGTTGCACAAAACAAGTTAGATGCCCTGACCTCTCATCATCTGCCTCAGGTCAGTGGGAAATCATCCAGTTTTATTATGTTAGTTGGAGACAGTGTGAGCACCTCTGGTTGCGGCTGTGCAACACTCTCTCCAGTGCTCTTCCCATTGGTATTAAAATCCCTTGCCTACTTGATTTTTCCCAACTGGAAAGACTGACAGGAGAGTGGCTGGTTGGTGCCACCGCATAAAAGTGCTCAGAGTGCAGATTTCCAGTTCTTTTTGTATTCCAGAAGAAAGGCCTACTGGGTGAGGGGTGACCTTTTCCCTGGTTTGGCCCTACTGGGGCAGATACCTGACAACTGGATTTACTGATGCCTAGCAGCCATCACCAGATGCTGAATTATCCCCAAGTGAGGAATCTTGCCTTTCAACTTAACTGCAGGTCTATGTAGAAAAGGCCTTTCTCCATTCTAGCTGGTTAGTATGACAAGCTTAGTGTCTGTTCTGTCTTGTCTACACTGAGCTTAATTTTATAGCCAAATTTAAATAGGTGCTTCTGCAATCACAATTTGGCAACTGCCCCATCCTTTGCTGATTATTTAAAGGCAATGTGCAAACCATCCAAGAAGAGACTATGATATCAGCTGAAGTAATCCCACGTTGCATAGCATGCCACAGTTTAGGCAAGTTGTAAGAAATCCAACAAGGGCTATAACAGAATAATGTCACAGGAGGAAAAGTTTAAATGATGACAACATCACTGAATTAAGATTGCAGAGATTGCACAGTTACTACTTTACCATTTCTAAAACAATGAAGCAGTAAATTGGAGTCGACTCTCCTTATAAATTCAGTACCTTATCTGAAAGTATGTCACATTGCTTTACTATTCATTGAAATACTGACTCTGCTACTTCTTTATATCCCATTTTATCCCTGAAGAGGTTGTAGTAGAATAAATATCCAACTTTAACAATCAATTACCAAACAGGTCTGCAAACCCTGGAAATATACTACCGGAGGCTTCTTGAAACTATCAAAATATTTTTTTCTCAAAGAACATGCCACTGATATAACAGCATATCAGCACAACATCTAACAACATTTTTATTCAAAGAGGCCTTGCCTTTCCCCCCCAAAAAGAGACTGGAAACAGTTCATGAGTATCTCTGTAGCTGAACTTGCCTTAATTTTGGCCATGTTGCTGTCTGCTTCAGTCAGTATAGAGCTGAGTTGCGAGTCCCAATCCATGCTGTAGGCAAAAAGATGATTTTTACAATTCACTGGCTGCCACTTTGCCAGCCTGGGAGAAATCTCTGACTACCAAAAAATCACAGCAAGACAGAAGAGTGCCTGCAACAGTAGCGGGAAATATATATACTGTATATATATATTCCTTTCACAGGGTAAATTAAGTCTAGTCACAGCAACGAGGAAGGAATAACAGAAGTTAAATGTGGAGTCACTCCTACATTAAATCTGTCTCCACCTTTTGCTCGACATAGCGGAGTTGTTCCCCCAAGCAGAAAATGCTCGTAAAGAGAATATATTACTTCACATATGTTACAGTAACTCTTGCATTGACTCGCACGCAACTTTTAATCACATGATGAGAACCACACTGGAAAATGCACACACTCAAACACTCAACGTTTCAGCAAATCTTTAACCCTCTCAATAAGAGGAACACAGAACCATCCCAACTTAAGGGTCTCCGACCACAACTAAGCACGGAGGTCTATTAGGATAATTAAGACTCTCACGCTATCCAGTAATAAAGCAAAGCTTTGAACCCCACTCAGCCTCTGCCGATGCTCATAATTCACACACAGAGTCACTGCCAAGGACCTCCGCCATTGCGGTTCTAGCTACACAGACAACAAGGCAGCAAACGAACGGAGCCCGAGGAAGGTTAAAAAAAAACCCACCCCAAACATACGCCGGCCGCGGCCGAACCCACACTCGTCTCTTCCACGGTAAAGATTCGAACACGCACCCCAGAGACCGCTAAAAGCCAGAGGGCAGGTTCCGCCTTCCGCTCCACCGCGGAGGATTCTGGGGAGGAGAGTCCATCTGTCGTACTAATTAGCATGACCCGGAATGTCACTGGGACTACACGTTCCAGCAGGCATTTCGACATCGGGGAAAAAATATGCTTGGTTGGGGGAAGCCCTTCCCTTCTTGCCATGCGTCGACGCGCGGCCTTCCGTGGGCGGTTACACACAAGTGAAGCCAGAGCGCGATCCCCGCCAGAAGTCGCGGCGAAGAGTTTCTCGTGAGACACATGGCGTCTTACGGCCCCATCTAAGGAGAAACTACAGCTCCCACAGTGCTCAGCGATTCGGAACCATGGAAGTGCGTGTGGTGCAACTGGAGGACAAAATCCGAGACTACTTGGGGGACCTGGGGTTTGAAATTTATCCCTTTAAGGTACTGCATACGTGGTGAGCGGAAGAATCGGTGAAAACAAAGTAGAGAATAAGGAAAAAAGAGAGAGGAGCTTTTTTTAAATGCCATGTGTCTAGTCTCCAATATGGTTAAGGTACGGCATACGTGGTGAGCGGAAGACTCGGGGGAAACAAAGTAGAGAATGAGGAAAAAAGAAAGAGAGAGGAGCTTTTTATAAATGCCATGTGTCTAGTCTCCAATATGGTCATTGCCTTAAGGTGTTAAAATACAGTTGCATTGTTGCAGTTTGAGCTACCTGTGACCCTAATGCCTTCCCACGTGCATGTATTACGGTTTGGGCATACGTGGTGAGCGGAAGACTCGGGGGAAACAAAGTAGAGAATGAGGAAAAAAGAAAGAGAGAGGAGCTTTTTATAAATGCCATGTGTCTAGTCTCCAATATGGTCATTGCCTTAAGGTGTTAAAATACAGTTGCATTGTTGCAGTTTGAGCTACCTGTGACCCTAATGCCTTCCCACGTGCATGTATTACGGTTTGTTTATGATGCTGATTCATATGCAGATACCGCATGGAGCTGTGGTGTCCTTACGCTTCCTTGTACTGTGACACTTCTCCATATGGCTATACAGTATTGCTTTTCTCTGGCGTCACTGCTGCATTTCTCTGTATCACATTGCTTGGAAAGTCGAATGAGCGGTTGGTAAGAGTTCCTGTATCATTTGACATGTTATTTATACTACGTTGTTGCTAGATTTCAAACTGGACCATTGGTTGCAATATTCTACCCTCACATCCCAGTCCAGACCCTCTCAAGGAGGCACAGTGGAGGCTGAATTCCCAACTTCTGAATTCCCAACTGCAGCCAGAGATGTAACCCAATGAGTTATCCAATAGTTCTCATGTGTATTAAACAGGAGTGCAAGGTTCTAGCACACCCTTTAGAGTTCTCTTGTGAAAGCACAATGACATCAACACTGAAACATCATTTTGCTGCATTGTAATTTTGTTCTTTGGGGATCTTTAGGCTCTAGAGAAAAGGTGCCTAAGGGGGGACATGATTGAGACATATAAAATTATTCAGGGGATGGATAAAGTGGAGAGAGGAAAGCTCTTTTTCCCCTCATGCAATACCAGAACCAGCAGACATCCACTCAAAATGAGTGTTGGGGGAGTGAGAACACAAGAAAAAAACATTTCTTTACCCAGCATGTTGTTAGTTTGTGGAACTCCTTGCCACAGGATGTGGTGATGGCATCTGGCTTAGGGAAAGGTTCCCCTTGACATTTTTTGTCCAGTCGTGTTCGACCCTAGGGAGCGGTGCTCATCCCCGTTTCCAAGCCATAGAGCCAGCGTTTATCCGACGACAATCTTCCGTGGTCACATGGCCAGTGCGACTTAGGCACGGAACACTGTTACCTTCCCACCGAGGTGGTCCCTATTTATCTGCATGCTTTCGAACCGCTAGGTTGGCGGGAGCTGGGACAAGCAACAGGCGCTCACTCCATTGCGTGGATTCCATCTTACGAATGCTTGGTCTTCTGACCCTGCAGCACAGGCTTCTGCGGTTTAGCCCGCAGCGCCACCACGTCCCATATCTGGCTTAGATGCCTATAAAAGGGGATTGGACAGATTGCTGGAGGAAGTCCATTGCAGGTTACAAGCCATAATGTGGATATATAATCTCCAGTCTTAAAAGGAAGGTACCTTAAAATGCCAAATGCAGGAGAGGGGTATCAGGAGACAGGTATCTAGTTGTCTTGTGTGCTCCCAAAGGCATCCTGTGAGACACAGGAAGCTCGAGCAGATGGGCCCTTGGCCTGATCCGGCAGGGTTCTTATGTTCTGGGGTGAGGCATCATGCAAAAAAAATAACTTATATTTGTTTTCTCAGCATATTACAGGATGACAGCTAAGCAGATTGATAGCATATGACCTGATATAAGGGTACAGTGTTTCTTGACCATATTCAGCTTGCAATCAAATGAGTCTATCTTTCTTAAAATATTTATGAAGACAGGCTTTGAAGTGTTTTCTTATCTTTCATTCTGCTTGAAACCTGAGATTGGATTGCTTGTGTTTTCACCTACGTTATCCAATTCATTATTTTTCTGGTTGTTGTTGTTGTTGTTGTTGTTGTTGTTGTTGTTGTTGTTGTTGTTGTTGTTGTTGTTGTTGTTGTTGTTGTTGTTGTTACGTTATTTATTTATTTATTTATTTATTATTTATTTATTTATTTATTTATTTATTTATTTATTTAGCTTCTCTCTAATCCATAATATTGCTTGTCATTTGTGAGTACTGTTTTGGGGGCTATGTGCAAGAGCATAAGATATTTATTAATTCAGTGCCTGAACAAATGAGGAGGGATCAGTTGCCTTTTAACCTCTGTTGAAACCTTTTTGTTGTGGACAAAACCTTTTTTTTAACAAGAAAAAATGCCCCATCTCTTGTCCTGTGGGTTGGTTCTCAGAATAACATATTCTGTCTCTGTGTGTTATGTGTAGTCAAGCTGGAACTGACTTATAAAGACCTCTGATAGGGCTTTCAGGTCAAATGAGATATTTAAGCAGTGGTTTTACCAGTTCCACCATCTAAGTCTCCTAAACCCTAGTCCATGACTCTGTTTGCTACACCATGCTGGTTGTTAACATTCTGTTACCTCAGAATGTAAAGTAGACCCATGAAGAGAAAAATTATATATCTGGAGCATAGGAAGACAGTATGATGAAGTACATATAAACAAGATTAGCCAACAGAAAGGAAAGAATCAAGGGAAACAATATAAAAAAATTGTGTAAAGCCATCAAAATTACAGCCTAAGCTGGATATCCAAAGTGGAGTAAAACTAGGAATGTGGCCAGTAATATAGATACGTACAGAGATGAATGATACAGCCAAGTTCATTTGACTTGGAAGTTAAAAATTAACACTGAACAGATAGAAACACTAGCACAGAAGTGAAGCATGTCTCACTTGTGACTTAAATATTAACCAAGATAAAGGGGGAGGTAAAATAAACTTGTTTAATACTAGCACAAGTATTCCCAAATAACCCTTCCATGTCTTCAGCGCTGCCTGGAGTCCGTTCTGTGATGGATGCAGGAGAATGGACTGAGGCTGAACCTAGGGGGTGGGGCTTTCTACTTTAAATGAGGGTGTCCCAGGACCCTGGGCCCTTTTCCCTAGGAATCTGGGTTGAGACTGAAGGCCAGGTATGCTTGCATGGACATTCTGCTGAATTTTGTGTGTGTGTGTATGTGTGTGTGTGTGTGTGTTTTGCTGGGCCTTCTTTTGGTCTCCCCCACCGCATGACCTGGGGGGTGGGGCTTTCTGCTTTAAATGAGGGAGGAAATTCTCTGATTCTATCTCTTACCCTAATATGGTAAATCGGAAAGCCAATTAGAATTCCATACACCTGGGAGGCAGAAAGTTTTAAGGGTCGGATCATACTTCTGCACTATTAGAGAGCAGGCTGGGGAGGTAGGGCTCGTCAGCCATGGAAGGCAGCCCATCTAGGAGAAGGAAAACTCTGCTTTCAAACTTCCACTGCCCTTTGGCTATATCCACTCATGGAAAAGGCTTCAGGAGTTAATCTAGAGCAAAATCTGGAGCTGGAGTCCTGAAGGCAGTTCGTGTCGTTCTGCCAACTCCTGCGATGTTGCTGGAACCAGTTGTATTGGCTCTTGCCTTTCCATTGGACCATTTCAGCAATGTGGAGAAGGGGGATCTGCTGCTTGGGTAACAGCCTATCCTACATATTACTTTACCCAGGCTTCATGCGAGACAGAGAGAAATGTAGCTGACATTTTGACAAAACTCCTGAATATACAAAAACACATGGAATAACCAAAGAATTGTGTGTATGCTCTGCTCAGGTGTAAATTAGGAGGGGTGTCAAGGAAAATTTCCAGGCCTGAGCAGAACAAGGTGTATTAATGAGTAGCCATGATGAACAAGTGTGTAGTAATGCTGAGTCATGATTCATGAGTGCTGACTCATGCATGATGCATTGTCTAATGTGATTGGCCACAGGCAGACGTGCATAAGTATATGTGTGAACCTGTATAGTAGATGTATCTTCCTGCTTTGTGATGAATGCTGCCTGTTATGCTGTCAGACTGAACTTCTGTATATATCCTGTAAATACACGGTTGGTGTTGGGAGAAGCTGCCTGCTTGTGTGTGATTTATTTGGACTTCCTGGACTGGACATTACTCTGCTGATTCTACTGATGTCCGCGATTTTGCGCTAACAATTTTGCTCGCTGAAGTTACACTTTTAACAAATCAAGTTTTGAAAGCCATATGTTGACTTATACTGTAGGATGTTTTGTTGTTGACATTTTCTTTTGCTTTCTCAGTCTCAGAAAAAGGATTGCCTAACATAACAACTATTTCACTATTTACCTCCCTCTTCAGAGAATCCAACAATCAAAACGATGATATGGTCCTTCAGATAGTCCTTCAGATAGTCTATCAAACAATGATATTGGATCATTCAGATCCAAGCCATATAGAACATTATATAGATCATAGCCAACAATATGAATTGGACCTAGAAAAGGACTGGTGGCCAGTGGAGCTGCCAGATCCTTCATCTGTGAATGAGATACTTCTGCCATACTATCTTATCACTAGATCTATTCGCAAACAAGCTGCTTGTTTTGGAAAGCAGTGAACTGCTTTAAAAACAGGTGGTACTTTTACCTTACTTTCACTTTTATGCTCTTTAAAAGCTTTTCTCCTGCACCCCACGGTCATTTTACTACAGTATAAACTGAAAAGATTTCAAACCTTTTCAGAGCTGTTGTAACAGAGATGTTATATGCTCTCTCTAATTGGCTGTGGCTGGCTGTGGTCAGGTGAAATTGAAGTTTCCAAACTGTCTTCAAAGAAAGCCCCATGTAGAGCATGTTGCAATACTCCAGAGGGATGTAACTAAGCATGTTTCACCATAACTAAATCCAATATCTCCAGGAACGGGCACAGCTAGTTGGCACACTGGTCACCACTGACACTTGAGTATTAAAGCTGAGAAATGAGTCTAGGAGTGCACCCAAGCTGAAAGTCTGAGTTGTCAGGGTCAGTGCAACTCTATTTAGCACAGGTTGAATCCCTTTTCCCTGACCTGCTTTTGGTCAGGGAAAAGGGATCAGGAGCACCTCTGCCATGTCTTTAAGTTTCATCACAGTGGGCTTTAAGTGGTCAGCATTTTGTGGCTGAACATGTAATAAGTCATTTGCAAGCTGCTTTGAGTCCCTCTACAAGGCAAAAGATAAGATATAAATTTAATAAATAAATACTATCTTTAAACATGTAGACCTACATGTTTAAAGATAGTATTTATTTATTTATTAAATATTATTAAATAAAGAAGCATAATAAATCATAAATATTTATTAAATAAAGAAGCCGTTATAACACATGTAGACCTACATGTGTTATAAGCCATTAGAAGAATTGTGATACAGGATATATATTCTCTCACTTGGATTGCCTTTGTATCTACCATGTCATCCGCTTGCAGCCGCGCTCAGCACAATTGTTTGCTTCAATGCTTGGGCCAACTGGGTGATGCCCTGGCACCTCCTTCTTTATGGCTGTCCCTACTGGTAAATTCCACAGTTCATCTCAGCAGTAGTAAATGGGAACCAGCCCCTCTGCTATCACAGAAGCTCAATTGACTGCAGGATGAAAATAAAGCTCCTGAAACCTCCTAAGTAGCAGGTGAAGCCCTGGGCTCCCCTAGTTCAGGGCACAAACATTAGACCAGCTGGGATGAATAAGAACAGGGGTGTTGGAAGTTAACCCCCATTGAAAGAGAAACAACAGCTGCTGCAAAGTGAGAGCTTTTACTGAACAGCATTAGAGCTGGAGTGAGTTGTGCAGTGAGAACAAATGGATAGGATGGCCAGCCATAGTGTCTGATGTGTCTTTGAAAGCAGTAGACAGCAGAAGAACAGGTGGATATTTACCTAACTCTATGGCTTCACACTTGTTTTTATAGCTGCCTGTTAAGAGGCTTTAAAAAATAGAGCAAGAGAGTAGATAGAACCAGAAGGCTGGCAAACCCATAGACAAGCAGCTGAAATTGGACTAGCCAGTGTTTCATCTCATTGTAGGCATTTCTTGTGGTCTGCATTTTACTGTGGGTGAGGAATGCCCATGTGCCTGTCATGAAAGCCAGGACAAATATAGGGATAGCAGTGATTAAATGTTCATAGCATATGATCTTTGGACCTCAATGAATTTCAGGTGTTTGGGAGTCAGTGATTTGAGAGACAGTATTGCTAGCTATCGCTCAATAAATTGAATGGTTTCATTCAGGGATTAGGAGTTCAGTTCCCCACTGTGCCTTGAAGGAGAGTGTAGCCTGGGCAAACTCCACAGTGCTCGAGTGCCCTCAGAGGCAAATGGTAAACTATTATCTAGAAAAGCTTGAGAAGGATGCCATAAGTCATAACTGACTTGATCGCATATAATGAAATTACTGCAACCTTGATGCTTTTCCAGTGGCCTTGCACATAATGTTAGGGGACAAAGTATAAAGGCACCCTAGATGTTTTGGACATCAACTCCCAGAATCCCCAGCCTATAATGCTAATGATAAAGGACTATGGGAGTTGTAGTCCAAAAAATCTGGCATGTCAAACATTTGCCATCCCTAGATAGTCACTGAAATGAAACTTACCTTCTTTCCCTATGGGGACTTATAGTGGAGTTCAAGATGGAGTAGCTGTTTATTTTGTTCCATGTGTCCAGCTGTGATCTTGCAAGGGAAATAGGTCAGAAGCATTTGATCAGCATTAGTAGTGGTTGGAGAGCTTTTCAGTTAGGGGCCCACACTACACAGTGTGTGCTTATTCTTAGAATGTGGAATGTTGGGTATAAAAACAAGTTAAACTTTGAAATGGGGAAGTTAACTCATTGCTTGTTGTGGGTTTTTCGGGCTCTTTGGCTGTGTTCTGAAGGTTGTTCTTCCTAACATTTTACCAGTCTCTGTGGCCGGCATCTTCAGAGGACAGCACTTCAGAGGACAGCACAGAGGACAGAGTGCTGTCCTCTGGAGATGCCGGCCACAGAGACTGGCAGAACATTAGGAAGAACAACCTTCAGAAGACAGCCAAAGAGCCTGAAAAACCCACAACAACCATTAGATCCCGGCCGTGAAAGCCTTCGCAAATACATTTAACTCATTGCCATTAACACTTAAATGCAGAAGTTTTAAACTAATTAAATTAACAATTATTTAATGCACTAATTGAAAGAGTTTGCATACTATTCGCAGTGGATATGTCTTATTTCCAAATACACCCCAAGGTAAAGAGGCCTGTGTTTTCTGTGCATAACCCAGTACAGTGGCCCTACAAATATACAGTACAGTATTTGGACTATGACACCCAGAAGCTGTAGTTAGCACAAGCAAGAATCTAGTATACTTGTTAAGATATTTGCACATTGTAGTTTCAAGACTATTAGGAATTCCAAGGTTGGAAACAATTATTCTCTGAAATGATGGTTCATCACATCCAATTTACATTTCTCTATCATAACACTATTAGAACCAGCAAGTCGTTCAGAGCCTTGCTTACCAACCCAGGTGACCAATTGTGTTATGGTGACCAGTTCCTGTAGGGCAACTGGGGGAAAATACTGGAGCAAACCACCATGCAGAAACCTGTGGTGTGATTTTTAGGGCTCCTCCCCTAAAGTTCTCTGTACTCTTGGAAAGAAGGCCAGGTCTACGCTAGAAGGTGGGCAGACCTCACTAAACTGGTGGCTGCAAATTGGCCAGTGTGAAAATTACACCAAAAAGGAAAAAAAAAACCAAACAAAAACACTTTATTTGTGCACATAGGGCTCTTTTTCTTTTATAAATGTAAAAGAACTCATCTGGATTAGCGCACCACCTACATAGGTGTCCCTTAGTGCTCCAGTGGCCGCATATAAGCCATTTCTTTTTCATTTTTTTTAAATGTCTCTTTCATTCAGAAAGACAAATTTGCAGCCGCCTCTAGATTAGCCAAAGAGAACTGGATTCAACATGCAGAATTTCAGCTGCCTGTGTTTGCAAGTTTAACAGTAGAACTCTGCAGCGTCTGCAATAAGAAATACAGCCTCGATTAACACAAATAGAGACTTTGTTTTTCATTTTTTTTATGTTCCTTAATCAGTCATTTCATTTTCAACAGTGTCATTGTTTGGCTACCTGGTATGAATTTTAGTTTTGAAAAGAACATACTGGTTCCTTTCTCTTTGAGGAGGAGAGTGTGAATTGAAATGTGCCTTCTGGAAGGAATGTTAAGTGACATTTTAATGAATAACATTGTAGGTAACATTACATTTTAAACATTAATTTTAAGGATTATATTTGAAAGCCTCTTTCTGCCATTGACCCAAGGTAGATAATTTAATGTTTTAAAAATTAATTTAGACAAAAATAAACAAAAATTAAACAAAAACACATACCTAACCAAACTTAATAACACAAAATCATATAAACAATACTTTTACACACAACCTGCTCCCCCTCATTGGGACCATTTGGAGATACAACCTTTTTTCCTTTATTTACAGAGTCTCCTTCCCCCTTCCAAAACAGCATTAATTCTTACGAAGGTGTACTACTCTTCCCCTTTATTAATACAAAAAATAATGTTAATTAGCTAATTACAAAGCATAATTTCCAAGTTCTGCTTATTCTGTTCCCTCTGTGTGGGAGATACTGCTAATGGAGAAAGGAACGGATAAGTAATATCAATATATCAGGAGTGGACAATTTTGGCTTTCTAGATGTGGCTGGACTGCAGCTCTCATCAGGCCTATTCAGCATATCCACCGGCGATGGACTGTGTGAAATACAATAAAAAAATCTGGAGCCCCACAGTTGCCCATTTTGGTAATATACAGTTTTGACAGATTGCAAAGGACAGGGGAAAGAGAATCAGGGGATAAATTTGAAGCAGTAATAGATTTCCATTTTCTTTATTTACCTGCAAAGGATACTTTGTCTTTGCCTCCACAGTTGAAAGATCCTGTTGATTTTTATGTGCATGGAATGCTGCAGCCGAGTCTCTGTAAGTGTTCTAAAAAGAGAAGAGTTAGCAATCAGCTCTTTCTTCATGTATGCTGGGCATGTGGAGGGTTTGTTTGTGTCCAAAGTGCCTCTTTTTTGTGATATATGTTGCTTTTCCTGTAGTCTCAATCCCATAATGGTTTGCTGTAAGCATGCTCAGCATTAGACCAGACAAGCAGAGCCCCATGCTATCCATGCATCATTTGAGTTCTGTCTCCCTAGCAGGGTGTTATATACAGTTGTGGGTGTGTTCGGTTTAGTCCCAACCTAGTCAGAATCCTATGCTCTGATATAACAGTGTGTACAGAGCCAGAGACAACTGAGTGACTGTCTTCGGTAGGGCTGGGCCTGAGACAAAGAACAAAATGGCTCCTGCTCCATCCCATACACAGACACGACTATCTCATTTGGTAGTTGAATCCCAGGATAACAGTGTGTACAGAGCAGAGAGAAGTGAGTGACTGTCTTCGGCAGGGCTGGGCCTGAGACAAAGGATGAAATGGCTCCTGCCCCATTCCATACACAGACGCGACTATCTCATTTGGTAGTTGAATCCCAGTTCAATACTGGCAGTGGGGTTAACTTCTGCACAACATCCAAGGGCAGCAGGCTAAATTATAAGTGCAGAAGAGGGCATGTGGCACTCATAAATCTGTCCTCAACAAGAGGGGAATGGTCAGGAGATTGCCACCACTATCCCATAGCACTTGATGCCTGAGGCAGTGGTTGCCTCACTCTCCCTAATAGTGGGTCTAGCTCCGAGTTTTGATTCCCAATTGACCACAATGATAGAATTTGGATTTTGCTCACCCCTTCCACTGACATCATTTCAGTGGTATATGAACAAGAAGTGGGCTGAAGCAGTTGAAGATTCAGGCTAAGGCCATTGTACTCTCAGCAACCCTGTATAGTACCTGCCCTTTTTTTGGACCTGCATTGCCACAATGTTCTGCCACCATATCCCTAATACTTTGCTGCTGTGGGATCAGATTTCAAAGCTATGCTGGTATAGATGCCTTAAACTAGATCTGAACCTTTTCAGCCAGCATCATTTAAACATAGTTTTGTTGTCTAAGTATAGATTAGGTTCAGGAAGATTTAAACAACAAGCAAGCAAGGTGCTATATAGCAAGTTTACTTCAGTTTTAAAAAAGATTCACTTTCGCAGTGGAATGTCCTCTTGTCTTTTAGGGGAACATGTCAGAAACCACGTGTATTTGGCTACATTGTTCCCAGCAGGAGAAATATCTGTGCTTTTTATAATTAAATGACCCCAGTGTCATGCCTCATCTCTTTCACTCAGAGTTGTTTGTCATCTACTTTAATTCATAACTTTCTAATTTTACAATGAATGAAACTACAGAGTGCACCATAACTAAAGTTTATGCAGCATTGCTGTTCATTGTTTCCCCCCACACCTCATTAAAGTATTATAATTGCATACGCATGAATTTGCTACCATAGCTAAGTGTTCACTCTTCATGCACATTATTGTGAGCTGTTTTACTGGTCACAGTAAATGCTAAGAATAACACATCTAAAAATTTGTTCTTATCTCTGTCATCATATAGTTGCTCCTAGAGAAAAAAATCCTTCCAGGTACCTTCATAATAATCAGATATTTGACAGCAGCTGATGTAGAAATCTTGCAGAAATGCAAATTTCCTTGAAACATTGATGCAAAAAATATTTTAGCTATCCAGAGCTGTTGGGTTGGCACCATGAAATAAAAGTAAACCTCCAAGAACCCTTTGAAAAGAGAATGCTTTCTGGATTTCAAAGGCAACCTTTTGCTGATATTATTATTGTTTTTCACAATATAAATTAGTTTGTGAGGAAAGTAACGCAGGCACATTAGGCTCTTGGTTTTACTGTTAGGAAAATGCTCTGATCTGTGAGCCACTCACTGACCTCTCTGGGAGTATAAGAAAAGTACATCTTCCTTTGCAACACTGGCAGAAAAATCTTCATCCAGCACTATAACAGATACAGGTATATTTGGCATTTAGGATTACAGATTGGTACACTTGGAAGTGTCTCCCAGATGCCAAATACTACATATCTTGGCGATGCAGCTAAAGCATCCCTTATAAACCATCCAATCTCTTTTTAAACATTTTGACGGAAAGTTCACTATGCCTTGGGGCAGCCCACTTTGTTATTAATAGCTTTGTCTATCAAAGAGTTTTGCCTAATGTTTACTGGAGGGATTGAGAAGATCCATCAGTGGCAGCCAAAGGCCATTCTGCCTACTTGCTTCCCTGGATGAACTGCTGTGAGGTCACAAAACACTGCTGTAGGCTTCACCACTGTTGTACAAAATCCCTTACAGCGCAGTGGATACATAGCACTCTCCCTAAACTGACTTGTAGAGTTGTTGGGAGGATAAATGGGAGGATCTGTTTCTCTTCCAAGGATAAAACCTGGGACACGTGCACACCTCTCCTCTTGGCACCTTTTGCTGGCATCTGCTAATGCCAAAGACTGAAAGGCCTCTTGAGAGATCCTGTTTACTTTTTGGGAGGCGCTTGGTGTTTTAGCTGTTGTTAACTTTAGATACTGGCTAAAGTACATAGACCATTGACTCCAGCTTGAGCAAGTGCAAAACTTTCAAATGTGAGGAACTAAATACAAGTAAGAAACTTTTCTTCTAGTCACACAGAGTACTGTAGAACTAATTTTACTATTTTTACCACCGGGAGGTGATGTATTCATGAAGTTATTCATAACAAATACGCCTGTTTTTCATTTTTCTTGCATAATTATTTTAGTAAAAGATCTCTGCATACCTCTGGATCTGGAAATGCCAGAGTTCTAAATACATTCGGAAGCAAAGCCTGTTGAACTCAATGGGACTCAGGGACAAAGTGGATCTGACAGAAATAGGTTGATACGTTTAAACATAGAAAAACCCCAGTCATACACATAGAGAGTGAGGGTACTTAGTTTTAATGGGAAAATGGATGTGTTGGTGAAGAGTACAAAATGTTTCCCCAACCCACAGCTGTTCACTGCTTGCATTTTTCCTATTGACTACGTGACCTTGGCTGCATTAAAAGTACTTGAGAGAGAAGGGCTACAAAGAGATATGTGACAGATGAAGGGTGGACTCAATGTCTCTGCAGCCTACACCTTGGTTGTTGAAGTCAGACCAGACCTCCCTGTTGCTGCCTGACTGGGATGTTAGTATAATGAAATGCAAGATTGTCTGTGGGAATTTTTCTAGGAGTGGAGGAGGACAAAGTTGTGTAGTGGCATCTTAGCATAACTTGTGCGCATGATGCATGCCCCTACAACACATTGCACCTATGTGTCTATATTAAAATAATGAAGACATTTAGGTTTGAAGGAGGCAAGTGCTTTCTTACAGATTAAATGCCCCAAACTTGTGGGGTCTGCTGACTTCATTACAGCTGAGCGAGGAAGTCACGTAGGCAGAATGCATCAACCGAATGCCTAGCTTTTTAATACAGTTAATCTATGCATGTGTCAGTTGTTGCTAGGCAGAACGTACTTCATGCCTCATTGGTTGTAATGTGATTCCTGTGTACCCTAAGTTCTGAATAAAGGGAGGTGCCGGGCGTGGCCAAGTAAGTTCCTTTTCCTACAGGCACGACCGAGCATGCTTCGTTTTTGAATCCCTGACTGCAGTCTCCATTGCTTTTCTTCAGAGTATTCTCCCGTTTACTGATGTTAGAGCTGGACTCTGACACAAACTGCCACTGTCGTGCGTAGCCCATCCCTTACTTCTGAGCAAATATGCATGAGATCAGGTTCTTAAGATTCATATCACTGTTACCTATCTCCACGTTGCACTTCCCAATCCTCTTCTGTATTCTTCTGCTCATGACCTCTGTTACTTGTGCTACCTTCCAGGTCTTGATATTTGGTCTTGAATCACATAGCTAAACTGAAGAGCCCAGTCAAGCTTCTGGCTTGCTGCTGTTCACAACCCTTATGACATCATAAGGAGTTGAGATATTGTGTCATTAGCCTGCATCAGAGGATGGATCATGAACTCTAAATTAACTTAATTCAGCCTTTAAAGTTTCATCTTCTGGCAGCAGAAATCAAACTCATCCTGATGGCTTCATTCATTATTAATAGTGTAGTTGTTTTGTTGATCCTGGCTAGTTCTAAGGCTGGTAACTGTAGTTTCACATTTTCGTAAAATGGGAAACCATGTTCAATGAGAGACTTTCTAATTTTATTCAGGCATGCTGCAACGGGAGGAGATAAAGGGCTGCATGCATATTCAGAGGACTCATTTACAACTTATTAAAGTGAGATATAACCATCTAAACTTGAGCTAATCTTGGAACTTGGCAAAACTGCCTAACTCTCTGCACTGTAACTAACACCGCCTGAACACAGAGATGTTTATATATATATGTTTATATATATATATAAAATCTGTACCTCAGTGTAAAGTGTAAGAAGGTTCGTTGTTTACTTTAGGCTGTTCCTCTTCAGGCAAAATAAAAGATGAGTCAGGATTATTATTAAAGGGACTTTTATTAATACAACTTGTACTTTCTTCCTTGTTTAACCCAATAGAACTGTGTAATGCCAATTGGGGAGGAGAACACTCCCAAAACCACATAAGAGATTTTTCGTTATTGCTATCTTTCAGTAATATGTTTTTGCTGACTTCTCCTGCTCAGTGGGTGGTTTCAGGTATGCACTGCGGACCACATATATGGTCCCGCAACATGGGTGGCAGGCCCATTCTCCTTCTGTCATTTTCTCTTTCACTGTGGCTGGATCTACACCCATTCCCTCTATCATTTTCTCTTTCACTGTGGCTGGATCTACTCGGAGTACATGACGCTTCGGACCCCTGCCCTTGGGGTAGACTAATACCGTCCATTCCTCCGGGCTTAGTTCTGGTATTATGGGTCTCACTTTCTCTTTGGCTATTTTCTCCTTCTTCATCTTCATCTACATACCTGAGTTTCTTTATCTTGTTTCTTTGTTAGGTTTTCATTAATAACGGTCACTTTCTCAGTCTCTTTAGACAAACCACCTTCTTCAGTCGTCAGAAAGACGTCAATCTTTTCCCTCACACCTCCTAGCTCCTTCTTTTCTCCTCCCTGGGCTATTTCTATCGTATCTAACCGCCTTTCACTCTCGTGGCTTCCTCTGTCTCGTCATCCCTGTCTCCTCCGTGCGATCATCTTCCTTTCCTCCAGCACGTCTCTCTGTCTCTTGCTGTTTCCCTTGTTCATCCCCATTCTGATTTTAATGTCTCCCTTGTTTGTTCTACCCTAGGTGCTTGAGGGGACGGCTCACTCTCTGACTCGTCCTCACAATCAGTGAAACAATATAAAATACAGTGGTGCCTTGATTTACAAATGCCCTGACCTATGAACGTTTTGAATTATGAACAGCTCCGGACGCTAAATATTGCTTTGAGTTATGAATGGAGCTTTGATTTATGAACAACAACAAAAAACCTTTCCTGTCTTTTTTTTGACCTAAGTCCATTTTAGGTCAAAATAAGAAAAAAGAAAAAAATCTCCCCCTAGTGGAAGAATATGGATTAACTAGCTTTGCATTAGTTCCTATGGGAACTAATGCTTTGACTTATGAACCGTGCCTTGACATAAGGACAAAAAACAGCTGGAACAGATTAATCGGTTTTCAATGCATTCCTATGAGAAACAGTGCTTTGATTTACAAACATTTTGACTTATATCCACCATTCCAATACGGATTAAGTTCGTAAGTCAAGGCACCACTGTAAAGTCACAGAGCTATTAATGATTTCCTGCAAATATTTCTATGTTGATTTGTGCTTCTTTCGTAGACCCAGAACACCAAGTTGTGAGGTTAGGATGGCTGGGACCTTTTGCTTTTGAAAATGATATCTTAGATTGCAGTGCTTTCCTTTGTGCAAATAAAGGCACATGTCCATTCCACTAGTTCTTGTTTCCCGTTTTAATTCTCATGCTTTTTTTTTTTCATTTTCTGAAGGTGGGATGGTACAATGAAGCTGTTCCTCCAGCTTTTCATTTGCCATACTCAGAGAACACATTGGCGTTTGTGGTGCTCAGCATTCCTGCCATGTTTGACAAAGCCTTCAAACCCTTCTTGAGGAATCAACTGCTGAAAAAGATTCAGGACCCTGTGGATCAGTGTGTTTCATACCACCTCTCAGTGGTTAGACAGGTAAGATAATTTAAGGCATCATTTCATTTTGTGGCCCTGTGTGAAGGAGCAGAGAGTAGAAGTGTGCCGTCCTTAACTGTAAAAGATGTAGTAAAAGAAGAAAAGACGAATGAAGGGGATCAGCAAACAAACACAATGACAGTTGCAGAAAAGACGGGAGAATTGAAATTGGTTGATGAAGCGGCAAAGACTGAGGTTTGCTTAGCAGAGGGATTGATAGGAGAGTGGGCGGAGCAAGAAGTAGCGGTTTGGGAGGAAGATATAAATGAAGAAGGGGTTAGATGGTTTAGTTTGGTAGTGGAGGATTATGAGAAAAAGAAGAGGAACACAAAAAGGTGTTCGAGAGAATTCGCACCCAGAACCTTATGCAGGACTTCCCGAACTTAAAAGTGGATGGACTCTTGCCAGACCCGGAGGTAGAGAGAGAGAAACCAAGCAGATATGTAACGAAGGAATGGACTGTAATTGTGGCACCTCGCGAAATTGAACTGCAGCATGAATGGGAAGCCTCACAACATCAATTCCCTGAAGGACCGGATGAGAGAGGATGGGTACGCCATACATGTTGTGGGACAATTTGTGTGATTCGGAGTACCCCTCCCCAAAAACCAGAACCCAAGGAATGGCATGGGGACTCCCGCCATTGAGTCCATGGGATTACAATAAGAGTTTTACTTCTGACAGTTGTGGCCTGTTGCCCGAGTTGAAACCGTTTGACCCTATAAGTGATGTGCTGGTGGATGGATGTTGGTGGAAATAAAGATGAAAGTTTGAAAGTTATCAAGATGCTTTATTATTTCCCGCCAAAAATGAGGGGCAGTCCCAGGGGGAAGAATCTGTTCACACCCTGATTGACACCAAGGCAAAACTACAAGTACTTCAGCATCCTGTTCCCAACAGTAACCAGATGGCATGCTTCTATTACCAAGACCTAAAGGTAGCAGCATTCCCCTGTTGCCCGCCCATAAGCATTCAGAGCAGAGCTTGAGAAAATTTACTATTTTGTTGTTGTTGTAGATGTTGTATTTTCCATGTTCTTTCAATTAAGATTCAAGAGAGAGAGAGAAAGTTGCTTTCTTGGTCTCCGGCTCCCAAAATACTCCAGCGTGTGTGTATGCACAATATATATAAACACATGAAGCTAGCATATTTATAATAAAGTACATCCCAATGATGTAGTAGTTTGTCACATGCAGGACATTTTCTATGTAGTGGAAAATTCAAAATTAACACTTACAAACCTTAATTTCAAGAGTTTTTCTACCTCTACTGCCTCTTTTTGTATCATAATAAGATGGTCTTTAGTAATTATTACTATAGATAATTGCAAAAATGTAACTACTATTATACTGTATGCTCCTGCTACCTTTGTTTGGAAGTGTGTTTTGTGGGCAAGATAGCTGTACCCAGAACTTGCTTCAGCTGTTACCTCTGCAATAATCCTGTTCCTCACTGTGTTAGGTGAAACATGCTCAGGAATGTATAATCATAATTGTGTGCCTTCAAGTTGATTCTGACTTATGGCAACCCTCTCCAGAGTTTTTTAGGTAGAGAATATACAGAAGTGGTTTACCATTCCCTCCTTCTTGAGGCATCCTGGGCTGTGCAACTTGTCCAAGGTTACACACAGAGGCTTTACTCACAGAAGGCACTGTGGAGAATCATACCTCCAACCTCTGGATCTGCAGTGAGGTGCCCAAACCACTGAGCTATCTAGCCAACTCCAGGTGATCAGATGATGTATGAATACTTTAATGGTACTGGATGAAATCATTCTTGAAATTCTAAGGCAGAATTTGAGAGTACCTGAGAGAACAAGATGACATATGCCTCAGATCTTCACCAGGGGGTTGCACTGGAGACTACAAAACCAGGGATTTAGATGAGGAGTTGGGAGGCAAGAAAATTTGGCTCCACTCCTTTCAACTTCCGTACACTTATAGCTAATGCTCAGGGCTTGAAAAATGCAGTCATCCACTTGTCTGTGACAAGTGAAAAATGCTGCTCAATGAGTCACAGCTCCCTCCCTCCCTGCCTCCTTCCCCTCCGCCTGTCTCTCTCTCTCTCTCTCTAATCCTGTAGTCCTCCCCTCCCCCCTTCAATTGTAAAAGAAAAACTGCCCTCTTCTCGCAAGAGAGTTCGAGCGGTAGATAGAGATATGGCTCTGCAGAAGAATGTAGAGTAGTCCCATGCTGGAGAATATGGAGATTCCCTGCTCCCAATTTCAACCAGACAAGGACACATCCTGGGGCGAGAGGGAACCGTGACTCCTTAAGAGGCCGGGCACTTTTGCTTTCAGTTTTATTTTTGCTGGAGACATTCAAAATAAAGGAATTCAAAATACAAGCTTGATGACCCCACAGGCACGCAGGTAATAAAGCAACCCAAGTCTGAGGGTATAAATCAGTGATTCCCAATCCCAATAAATTGCAAGGCTATAGTGTTGACAGGTGAGATTTTTGACTGACTGGTGAAATATTCTAAAATTTTTCAAGCCCTGCTCATTCCTGTGCAGGCTCAGATCTAATAAAGACTCTTCTTTACAGAACCTTGCAGATGAGCAGATGGAGATCATGTATGACTATGAGATGCTGCCCAATCGGAAACCTAAATTCCTGGCCCAGACAGCAGCACACGTAGCCGGTGCAGCATATTACTACCAAAGGAAAAATGTACAGAAGGATCCGTGGGGAACAAAGGTGATCTTTCTTCTTTTTTTTCAAGTAAATTGAACTATATGCCAGATCTGAAGTATTTAAAGAAATGCTGCTCTAAATCTATTAATTAGGTTAATTATTCTAAGGATGCAAACAAGTACAAACGTGTTTGGGCATAACACCACTAAATTAAAAAAGCTTATTTCCAAGTAAACATGCATAGGACCAAGTTGTAAGGTTCCATATGGAAAACAGAGCCACCTTGTTCTTTGTATAGGTATTCCTCTAGTGGTGAAGGACATTTGTTTGTTATAGTATGTGATTTTCCTTACTTAGGTATCTTGCACTTAGCAGGTTTTGTTTTATGACTGTTCTTTGGAAGATATTGTCTGGTCAGGCAATCTGGCACCTGAACATCCTCGCAAGAGCCGTATAAAACTTTGTAGACTTCTAGTGGTAAACCACTTCTGAGTATTCTCTACCTGGAAAACCCTGAAAAGTCAGAATGGACTTGATGATGAGAAAAATTGGAAGCCTGTGTTTGTGACAGATGGCATTTGTTCCCAAATAAGGATTAATTCCAGAATTAATCCAGACAATAATTGACAATCATATCAACATTAATCTGAGTGTCAAGATAAAAAGTATTTTCATTCTTGCAATAATTCAGTGCAAAATCAGCTTGTCTAATTCTTCAAGCTTTATTTATCTGCATTGCTTCTAGCTTCCATATCCACAAAATACTTCAGAGTTGCAAATATCCAAAGGTCTTACAGCTATAGGAAGAAATACTTTTAAAATTAATGAAAACTGGACTTAAATTTCAGATGAATACTAAAGTCATAATTCAGTCCAAAATGCACGAGCAAAACTATAATAAAATATCAAAAATAGTGTTTTAAGTTACATTATAAAAATGCTAGAGCTTATAGTAAAAATGCACATTTAAAAACAAAAGACAGTGCGTACTTCTAAAAAAGCATTAAAAATAAAACACATTGTAATATTTAGCTTTTAACCATATTAAAATGCACATATACAATTATGCTAAGTGCTCACCCAGCCAAGCCAGTTTCTATGGAGGAAAATCCATTGATTGTCTGCTCTTGCTGTTGCTACTACTAATTTTAAATTAGAGTGCCATGAATTTGTGATGATGTGGTGAATTCTGAACTAGTGTATGTGTTTCTTTTCTCCCTATATTTATAGTTGTTTCACTTGTCCACACCTCCCCCTAATCTGTAAACAGTCTCTTTTCCAGAGATTTCTTGGAAATCCAAGAAAACAATTTTTAGTGATTAATTGTTGTTGTTCCTACTGTAGCTCCAAAGTTTGCAACTTAAAATGTGGCAAGCTACCACTATGGCAAACATCTCATTGTTTTAACTTAAAAAGTTACAGAGCCTGGAGTAACAAAGGTCTGTATCATAAAAGGTCTGGAACCCCAGAATATTACCACAGAACCTTGTAGCTCCAAGATACTGAAATTACAAACAGTGTATATTATAAGACCTGCAAACACAAGCTCTTTATTTATAAATTTTAACATAAATAATTCAGCTGCCAAGGTCTTACTGTTCAGTAACCTTGCTCAGCTGGAGAGCCAGCTAATTGTTTTGAAAATACTATACTAACTAAACTATTATTCAAGCCTCAATTTTGAAAGCACTTTCATTTTCAGGGCTATTTTTCGCATAATCCCTCTTAATTTTTTTAAACATTCTATACACACAAAATTTCAAACCTTGACAATGTTAAACACTGGCTTAGTTTGCAAATTTTATTTCTAATGCACTTACTGTATCTCTGAAAAGATATAAGTGGCTGAAATCCTGTTGCACAACAGTGCCAAGTGTAAATGGGACTGATGTCATTTTTTAAAAAATTTAAAAGTTCTTATCCCCCTCTTCAGGTTCTGAGGCTGCCTAGGGACCTCTTTTGCTCCAGGAAAGCTTTTGGGAGCCTCGGGATGCCAGGTTGTGGGGCAGGTTAAGCCTTTAATATCAGAAAATTGACAGTATTCCCACTGCTGGCAATGTAGCAGCAATTTGATAGAAACAGAATCAACCCCTGCCCAAATCCTGTTCTTAAGTGTGCATTAATCTTAATATGGAACTTAGTAAATATTCTGGCTTTATTTGTTTATTACGATACCTTGCCTTTTGAATATTAACAGATCTTTAAAGAGTTGTGCTTTCTAAAGCTCAGTCTGTTTTCTTTCTCTCCAGAAGATCTATGGCGTCTGTGTCCACCCCCATTATGGAGGTTGGTTTGCCATTCGAGCTCTTCTGCTTTTCCCAGATGTTGAGGTACCCTTCCTGCTACAGACCAACCCAATTGACTGTGTTACAACTGAGGAAGAAAGAATAGAATTGCTGGAGAAGTTCAATTTCCACTGGCGGGACTGGAGCTACCGGGACGTTACTGAAGTGAAGGAGAAGTATTCAGAAGAGCAGAAAACCTATTTTGCAACTCCTCCAGCTGAACGGTTAAAACTGCTGAAACTGCTAGGAGGTTTTCAGAGAAATGCAATACACTGAGTTGCTGTTTTCAGTGTTCAAGAGGGACACACAGCTTACACTGTTATGCTCCCTGTATAGGGACAGTGCTTGATGGTGTACTTGGTGACTGAAGCTGAAATTCAGAATATGCTTTTTGCAAGAGGAATTCCCTTTTAACACAGTAAAAGTTATTTCTGAAGAACTGAGCTGTAATATTAGTAACAATAGAAGCCTGCCAGTTCAGGAGTAGAACAGTACTTCTCCACTCCCCCTCCACTGACTGGAAACCTCTAAGAAGGGTTTAGAAATTTTATTCCTTTTCCTTGAAATTTTCATTTACTGGTAGTTTGGGGATGTTCTTTTGTGTGGGTGTGATGCTTTGGCGGTTATGTAAAATCAATTGCCTTTTGTTGTGAGGTCAGGAGACATTGTTATGTAAATTGTACTTTTGTTATCCCTTGGGAGAAATTTTCTAGAAAGCAAGTGTTTTGAAGGAAATTATCAAGTCATTTTTACAGTTTAAAATCACTTCAGGTGCTTCATTTCTTGTTTCTCAATACACATTCTGAGAGTCTATATCCCTGTCTTTCTTTTTCTCCCCTCCTGGATCAAAGCACTGGAGATGCTAACCTATGTGGTGAAGGGGAGCTGATGGTTGTAAAAATGAAGGGAGCAAAAAAGCATGTTTTTTCTGATTAAAGTATTGTGCATCATTCATATTGTAGTGCAAGGCTTTTGCTGAAATAACAGGAATTAAAACGTTAACTAGTCTCTTCCTGCTTAGAGCTATATTCTCTATTATATGCAGAGTAATAAGTAGTTCTGGAAGAATTATTGACAAGGGTATACCTTGCTGTTAATGTATGTTAAGCAAAAGAAAATACCAACAATGCTAAATGAAACTTACGATGATGATAATGATGTACCTTATCTAGGCTATATGTTTACAAGCCAGTAGCTGAAGTCCAATAGCAAGTTGTAGCTAGAGCAAACCAGTTGAATCACTGGAACTTACCTAGATGTTGAATCATTAAATCTCTTTGGATTTAATGCGTGCTCTTGTTGCTTACTACTGGATTTCAGCCAATGTCTACAATAGAAAAGGAAACACTCTTAGGAAGGGTGCATCAAAATACTTATATGGAAGCCCTAATTCTTAATAAATTACATAACCATTTCATGAGCAGGTGGAATGGCTACTGAGGGAAACAGCTTTGAACAAAAAGAAGACAAATGGCAATCAGCCTCATTTGAGATATAAGGTGGGCCTTACTGTTGTTTTATGTCTTTGGTACCAATAATGCTATTTACTTGCAATACATGTTTGTAGGGTTAGGCTGATTAGAATTTAATGTAATTTTTTAATCCCAAATTCACTGTTTACATCCATGCTTCTTAATGCCATTTCAGCATTTGTGTTATGTTGTTTGCAATTGCCTGGATGCATTTGAGTAGTCTTATCATTTCTGGATGTGAATGTTAAGTTTAAAAAGTCCCCACATCCTATGTGTGTCCCTTGTTTTGTTTCAGACTAGTCTGTGTGCAGTGTGGTTGAGGGACTTTTGTTGACCATAACTCAATATACTAGCATGCAACTGGAAATAATTGCCCACACCATTTTATGGATGAGTTGCATGCTGTGCCCATAAGATAGCTGTATAGTGTACATCACTTAATTCTTTATTATTATATGCAAAGTGCTAGGTAGTTCTGGCAGCAAAGGGCACCTTTCAGAAGAGTTATATAAACATTAAAAATGAAGAGTGGAAGGAAGTTGTGAAGGTGTAGCATAGTTATCCTCCCATGGCAAGGAAATAAGCTTATTAAAATTGGATTGGCTACCTTTCTTTTAGACTGTAACTTGCAGAGGTTCCTAGCCAATAGGATGGTGGAATTCTGAGTAATCCAGTCCTAAACAGCAATGTTCCAATCTCTACCACTTAATATAGTTACATTATGATACCGCAGGCAAGATAGCATAGCACTTTCCCACAAGGAAGAACATACATTGTACTGTGCACCACAGTCCTGTGAATGCAATGGAAGAGTAAAACCAGAACTGTGGAATTTGTTCATCCATAGATTTTGTCATTCTGTATACTAATTGTGAATGTAGTCTGCAATAGCTGATCTTTATATTTACTTTTTACTTTATTTTTATTACATTTTTACCCCGCCCCCTAGACAAAGTCTACTCGGGGCAGCTTACATACATAATAAAACATCAAAATGTACAAGAAGGTGGTGCTAAAAAGCACGCAGGAACCTGAAGTTGTGTAACTGAGCCAATAGAAATGTAGGCATATATGTTCCTAAAACATGTCTTTTCTAATCATCAGGGCCAGCCGTGCCATTAGGCAATAAGGCATTTGCCTCCCTATGGCTGCTGTTAAGACCAACAGGGCAACCTCTTGGATAGTTCTTCTAAAATCCCCAGCTGTGTCCCTCTGTTGGAGGACAGGATGGTACATGGCACACAGCTTGTCCTGAGCCACTAAACTAGCCTGTCATTTCAGGTGTGATGAAATATGCTTTCTTCTCACCAGTGTTGAGGGAAGAGTTAACTGCCAGTTCAGCTAACCGTCCCACACAGAATGATTTCTGATTTTTGCGTCAAGCAACAAAGTGCATTGGGCCTTCCTTGCCTACCATCGTCCCCATCATGCATTTACTATATCATCACTGCTCAATATTTGCCATAGTGACTATGGAAATTGCTGATCAGGTCTTATAACTTATCCTGTCTTTGAGCATAGACTGTATTGTCCAGTCACTTCAGAGCTCAAGAAAATTACTTTCTGCGATTATTTTTTTAAAAAACCTGCAGCAGTGATCATGCTGGCTGAGTGATTCTGGGAGTTGTGTAGACCTGATGCATTTTCCTCAGTAGCAAGTCATGTCACGTTGAGAGCACCTCTTTGACTTACATGCAGGAAGACAGTCTCACAAAAACCATTTGCATGTGAAAATCTGGGATCTGCAAGGGTGAAATTGCACACCAATGGTCGGTTAGGTTCAATCTTCAGCTGTGTGTTTTTCTGGCAGCTGTTTGGCTACATGGGGCTCAAATCCATCTGCATTAAGTAGCAAATTGGGTGCTTAATCCCCATTTGCTGGCACCATAAGCAGCTGAGATTGGAAGACCATCTCTGAAAGATTTGTGTCTGCAGTCTGCCAGGGTATGGCTAATTTCTAAATCCCTCACAGCCTCCTCCCCAGATGGTCGTCCCTTTGCAAGTCACCAACTAGAGCTGAGAGGCTGCTGCCATGGAGTCCCAAGAGCCCTGCCATGCACCATATCATATTCTTGCATTCACAGTTGTTCACTTAAGAAGCAAGAGTGGATTTCTGTGTGGGTCAAGCACACCCGAATGAGATAAAGAAGTATTTGGTCATTGAGCTAGTGCTATGATTCTGAATGGCACATGGCCACTTCCAGATTTGTTCTAAAATAAGACCTATAATGGTTGCACTAGGTCTGTTCAGTTCCAGACAGCTGTGCCCACATTGCTCTTCGGATGTTTTGCAGATTTTTGCATCTGGGGAAAAACATTAGTTTGCTCTATGGCAGCATTATAGAGTTCTGCTATAATGAGGAACAAATTAGAAACTGTATATACACCCCTAATTCCCTGTGACAGAATGAACACATCAAACAATCCAAATAATTAAGTGTATTTTATAAAGCTTAATTCTGAACGCTTCCTTCCTGTTTCAGTCATGGAGAAAACAAAGGCAGAAAACTTGGAGACCTCAACTAAAAGGGGCTACATGGTAAGCTAGGAAAGGAAGACTGAATGTTGTAGCACATTGTTAGCCATCTTATTTTAGGTTCTGGACAGCCTAGGACTAGGAGGTCATGTAGCTTCCTTGATTCTTTCCTTTTTCTGTCTTACATTAAAGACTGACAAAGCTATGCAAAACAAAACAATGAAATTTCTGTTTTTATTTATTTAAAATATTTTTACCCTTCCTTTCTCCTTAAAAGGACTCAATGTGGCTAACATCATTAAAGATAATATTAAAGCTAACAACGAGTATACCAGATACCTAAAAGAATAAAACAAATACCATAAAAATAGCTTGTTTCAGAAAAAAAATCACCTGTACTGTAATGTGGGAACAACAAGATAAATTATTTCCAAAGCTTGTACTTTTTAGGATTTTGAACAAGACACATGAGGAAATAGTGTGCGCAGTATAGGCTAAGAATCAAAACAAAGGCTAAAAACAGAACAAAAAATTAAATCGTAAATGGCATTAAAATACACACAAATGCCATTAAGAAGACAATAATAATCAGCTGAGTAGTATTAAATTTCCTGTTCTGGAAATGGATAACAGAAATTATTTCCTTTCTTTCTACCTCACTCATTGCACAACAACTGTGGGGTAGTGAGCAAAAAGCTGGAGAACTGCTAAGTGAAACTGCTTTGGAAATATCTCCTAAAAAGCTGCAGCTAAGCTCAAGAAAAAGGACAAGTGAACATGTACAATAGATTAAAAACCAACTCTGAATTCTATTTATATACCATGCTTCCCCAACATTGGCGCACCTATGACAGTTCAATGTGAGGGAAATTCAAAAAGGGACCGTTTGATTCTTTGTTACAGGCACAGCACTATAAACTGGATTTTGTAGACAAATTTCCCAAACTTATGTTAAATGTGCTACTAAATTTACTTAATTTGCACCAGATATCCTGGTTGCGCTCAGGACCATCCTAAGGCAGAGTGAGGCAGCTGCTTCAGGCAGCAGGTTGGTTATCATGAAAGGGTGGGAATTGGTTTATTTACTATACTGTATATCTGTTTTGTTCTACTATTAGGAAGAGGGAACAGATACTTAAATTATTATTTTTTACCTCTTGTACCAAAATAAATTAACTAGCTTTGGGTTTCATGTATCTTTCCTTTCTTGTCTAAGTAGTACAATCTGCTGCTGGGCTTGGGCCTGGTTGCTGTAGTAATAGATTGGATCTGTCTACTTTTTTGTTTAGTCTTCTTAAATCGTGAGTAATCCTTGAAACCTAGTGAACAGCAAGTGCTGTGACTCACCACAGTTCTGGAGCTAGTTTGAACTGTGGTAGCAGGGGTGCTGAAAAGCTAATTTTAAATGTCTTGTTTACAAATACTTTTTTGTTTGATTTATTCATGCTGTTTCAGGCTGGCAAAAATCATTCCCTTATTTTTTTAATTTCTAATTAAATAGAGCAAGCATGAATCATTAGTGGGAGGAGTATGATTCATTTAGGGCTTCATTTTGCTGAACTCAGCACTGCTTTCAGCCAAGGCCAACTGGGCTAGTAGCTTGCCTTCTTACACTTATGAATATCATGCTGGATCTCAACTCTCATCTTAGCATTTCTATCAGAGAGGAAGAAAAGCCACTAATTTATTCTGCAAGAGCCCAGTTTTCACTCAGTGGTGTCTTGATATTTGTCATCTCATAAAATTGTTATTGGCCTCCTAAGCACATGGATTTGCAACAGAAAGTTTAAGTAATGGATTGGATGTACCTTTTTCTATTGGATTCAAAGATGTTTATGTGGGGAAGTTGGCCAACAGCTCACCATGTGGATTCCAGGTTTGAAAGGCAGCCCAATATGCTTACAGTTCAAACTGTGCTGACTGAAACCTCAAACGCAACATAGTTACTTATAGTAGTAGGCATCCTTCAGTCTCGGGAGACTATGGTAACGTGTTCTGTATGGAGG